ACTATCATTGGGTAGTAATTCTCTTATTTAGATCTTTTTATGTTTCTCTAAAGAAAATTTTAAATAAGTTTACTCTATATGCGATTACAGACCTACTTGAGGTTTTTGTTTTGTTATTTAATTAGAGAGGTTGCTTGTATCTCTGACAAGTTTCCCAGATGCCTGCACTGACTGGCCTGGCACCAGAGCCAGGAGCCAGAATCCATCTCAAGCACCTGTGTGGCAGGGACCCAACTACTAGAACCATCAACTGCTGCCTCCCAAGATCTGCACTGGTAGGAAGAGAGGAAACGAGCTGGGCATTGAATCCAGGAACCTCTGATAATGGGGCACAGGCATCTTTCTGCTAGACCAAAGGCCTGTCTCCTAGTGAAGGTTTTAAATAGAAGCGTGATAAAATGGACTTCTAATTTAAAGTAGTATTCTGATAATATTATGGAAAATGTGTGAGGTGACAAACACAAGCATTCTTCCATTGGAGGCTTCTGTAATTGTACCAGATGTAAGATTTTGGAATTTTGTTTGTTTGAAGATTTTATTTATTTGAGAGGTAGAGTTACAGACAGACAGAGGGAGAGACAGAGAAAAAAGTCTTCCATCCACTGGGTCACTCCCCAAATGACCGCAGTGGCAGGAATTGAGCTGATGGGAAGCCAGGAGCGAGGAGCTTCTTCCAGGTCTCCCACATGGGTACAGGGGCCCAAGCACTTGGGCCATCCTCTGCTGCTTCCCCAGGCTGTAGCAGAGAGCCGGATCGGGAAAGGAACAGCCGGGACATGAACTGGTGCCCATATGGGATACCGGAGCCGCAGGTGGAGCCTTAGCCCACTACGCCACAGTGCCAGCCCCAAATATAAGATTTTGAATAATAATTAGACATCAAATATAGAAAGTTAAGTGGACATATTATCTGTGGGTAATAAAGGTGAAGGAGACAATAAGAATAAGTTCCTCCCCTTTTTTCCTTTTATTGAGTTCATCAATTACTTGAGTGCTGTTTGCCAGACATTCTGCCAGTAGTCAGAGACAAAGCTGAATGAGACACAGTTCCATCTTTGATGAGCTCAATCTAGTGGGCTGCAATACCACCAACAGTTTTAAATCAGATGTGTGTAGTCTTATGGGTAATGTTATCTAGACAAGTAGAATGGGGCTGTTTAGGTTGCTGAAACAACTAGCATAATCACTGTCATCGTTTATGCAGAGAAAAACGAGCAACTTTAATTCTGGACGAAAAATATTGAGGTCTGAGGAATACAAGGTAGGGCCAGGAAAGAGGCAAAAATCGGGTGATAAAAGTCCTTATATTCTCAGGGCTTGGTGCTATGGTGTAATGGATAAAGCCACTTCCTTCAGTGTGGGCATCCCATAGGGGAGTCCATTCGAGACCTGGCTACTCCACTTCTAATCTAGCTCCCTACTAATGCACCTGGGAGAGCAGCGGAGAATGGCCCAAGGCCTTGGGCCCCAGGACCCGTGTGGGAGGTCTGGAAGAAGCTCTTGGCTCCTGGCTCCTAGCTTCAGATCGGCTCAGCTCCAGCCATTGCAGCCATTTGGGGAGTGAACATTTGAAAGACCTCTCTCTATATAAATCTATACCTCTCTGTTTTGAAAAAACTGTTTTTGAATTGACTAGTTACCTTTTGCATACCTATGGTACATTTGTAGCACAAAATTTTCTTTTTTCCTGAAGACTTTCTCCAACTATCAAAAAGTATGTCTGATCAGGCACTGTGGATTCCATTTTAAATTAGTGTAGATTTGATAAATAAGGGAAACATTTGGATCACAGCCTCTGTACATAAGTAACACCATGACAGGGTTCTTGAAGAAGATAATATTTGCTATGCTACCCTGTCTATCCTGTTCATATGGGACTCTACAATTAGAAGCTTGTTTCTAGGTACCAGAGCAGAGGACAGATTGATTTTGATCTTGTCATTGCTTTGATCCACTGTTGTGATAAAATTAGTTAATCCCAAAATTATCTCTTATCAATTCAAAAATTATCTCCTCTTGATAGGGGAATTACTGATAAAATAGACAAAAGATTTGGTACCTATTTTAGTAAGTTCTTATTTGAAAATTCTATATATTTATTTGTATCTTTATTAAAGGTGATAGTTTTGGTTTTCTACCTACTGCAAAGTACTGTTTTGGATGAGCAGTTGGGTTTGGGTGCAGAAAAAGTAAAAAAATCAGAGGTCTTGATGATGAGCACACATAGTATGGTTAGACTTTAGGGAAGTGTAGTCTGCAGAGCAGAATTTTTACCTTTAAATATTTATGGTAGGGGCCAGCACTGTGGCAAAGTGGGTTACCACCCTGGCCTGAAGTGCTGGCATCCCATATGGGCACCGGTTCTTTTTTTATTATTATTTTTATTTTATTTTTTTGACAGGCAGAGTGGACAGTGAGAGAGAGAGAGACAGAGAGAAAGGTCTTCCTTTGCCGTTGGTTCACCCTCCAATGGCCGCCGCGGCCGGCGCGCTGTGGCCGGCACACCGCGCTGATCCGATGGCAGGAGCCAGGAGCCAGGTGCTTTTCCTGGTATCCCATGGGGTGCAGGGCCCAAGCACCTGGGCCATCCTCCACTGCACTCCCTGGCCACAGCAGAGAGTTGGCCTGGAAGAGGGGCAACCGGGACAGAATCCGGCTTCCAACCGGGACTAGAACCCGGTGTGCCGGCGCCGCTAGGCGGAGGATTAGCCTAGTGAGCCGCGGCGCCGGCCTGGGCACCGGTTCTAATCCTAGCTGCTCCTCAACCCATCCAGCTCTCTGCTGTGGCCTGGGAAAGCAGCAGAAGATGGCCCAGGTCCTTAGGCCCCTGAACCCATGTGGGAGACGTGGAAGAAGCTCCTGGCTCCTGGCTTCAGCTCGGCCCAGCTCTGGCTGTTGCAGCCATCTGGGGAGTAAACCAGGGGATGGAAGACCTCTCTCTCTCTTGTCTCTACCTCTCTCTGAAACTCTTTCAAATAAATAAACCTTTAAAAATAAATAAATAAATAAAATATTTATGGTAGAAGAGAAAAGATTGAATATAAATCAACTGAACAATAAACATGATTGGCCAGTGTGGTGTAGTGGGTTAAGTCACTGCTCGCAACACTGCATCCCCTAATGGGCGCTGGTTCAAGTCCTGGCTACTCTACTTCTGATCCAGCTCCCTGCTAATGTGCCTGGGAAAGCAGCAAAAGATGGCCCAAATGCTTTGGTCCCTGGACCCACATGGAAGACTAGGATAAAGCCCCTGGCTTTGGCCTGGCCCAGTCCTGGCCATTTGGGGAGTGAACCAGTGGATGAAGAATCTCTGTGTTTCTTCTTCTCTCTCTGTAACCCTGCCTTTCAAATAAAGAAATTTTAAAGATAAACTGAAAAGAAATTATTTAAATGTAAGGAACAGTATATTTAATAATATTAAAAGATAGCTACCTCTTTGAAAAGAACAAGACTATAGATAAACCTTTGATAAATTAGATGAAGGAAAAAATACCAGTAACATTAAGGAATAAAAGGAGCATGAATGCAGACAGATTGGCATTATCTCAGTCTCTGAATAGACTTAAATCGTAGGTGTCATTCTACAGATAAAGCAAGAGGTTAACAAAAATCATCATAACCCTGGGCATATTCTAGAAATGCAAGGACTGTTCAACCTTGGATAATTTTAAATAGAATTCACTGTGTTACAATGATTATTCTATTTCATTCATATAGATGTTTTTGTCTAACAATTGTCAGGGGCCAGTGTTGTAGTTCAGCAGGTGAAGCTGCTGCCTGCAATGCTGGCATTTCATAAAGGTGCTGTTTCAAGTCCCAGCTGTTCCACTGCCAGTCCAACTTCCTACTAATGTGCCTGCGAAAGCAGTGGAATAAGACCTCTCTCTGTCTCTACCTCTCTCTGTAATTCTTTCAAATAAATAAAATAAATCTTAAAAAAAAAGAAAAAAAAGAAAGAAAAATACTCAAAAGAACTGTGGAAAAAATCAGAGTATTTCTTCTCACAAAGGTTTCAGTTTTGTTATCATAAGTAACATGAAAAGTCCTTGTATTTTGGTATTTATGCCTATGAATGAATTATTTCCATTTCAAAAGTTTCTCTCAACATTCCATTAAAACACACTAACAGTGATTATGCAAGGGAAGAAAAACTGTTCCAACAGTTACCTTGCTACTTTATATATATATATATTTTATTTTATTTTTTGACAGGCAGAGTGGACAGTGAGAGAGAGAGACAGAGAGAAAGGTCTTCCTTTGCCGTTGGTTCACCCTCCAATGGCTGCTGCGGCCGGCGCACCACGCTGATCCGATGGCAGGAGCCAGGTGCTTCTCCTGGTCTCCCATGGGGTGCAGGGCCCAAGCACTTGGGCCATCCTCCACTGCATTCCCTGGCCACAGCAGAGAGCTGGCCTGGAAGAGGGGCAAGCGGGACAGAATCCGGGGCCCCGACAGGGACTACAACCCAGTGTGCCGGCGCCGCAAGGCGGAGGACTAGCCTAGTGAGCCGCGGCGCCGGCCGCTACTTTATATTTTTAATCTCTATTTATGTAACTACATTTAGCATTAGAAATGGCAATTCTTTTTTTTTTTTTTTAAGAGATTTATTTTATTTGAAAGGCAGAGTTCTAGACAGAGAGACAGAGAAAGAGAAAGAGAAAGAGATCCTCTATCTGCTGGTTCACTCCCACAATGGCTAGGGCTGGCCCAGGTCAAAGCCATGAGTCAGGAGCTTCTTCTGGGTCTCCCACACGGGTGCAGGGGCCCAAGGACTTAGGCCATCTTCTACTGCTTTCCCAGGCCATAGCAGAGAGCTATATGGGATGCCAGTGCTTCAGGCAGGGCGTTAAACCGCTGCACCACAGGGCTGGCCCTGAGTATTTTTCTTTCTTTCTAGTATTTTTCACCATTTTAACTTGTATTTTAAAAATGCTACCCTGGATAGGTGTTACTGATTTCCTGTAACCTAGGAAGAATAATCTTTTTTTTTTCTTTCTTAGGTACAAACTGTTTTGAAACCGGTTCATCAGAAGGAAGGACAAGAATTAACTGCTTTGTTGAATGCTCCACATTTTCAGGTAAAAAAAAAAGACATATGTGGTTTTCCAGGTTTTTCTTTCTTTCTTTATCAAATTCTTTTAGGGCTGAAAAAGACCTCAGAAATTATCTAGCTGTTTTAGTTGTTGTTTTAAAGATTTATTGATTTATTTGAAAGGCAGAGTGGCAGAGAGACTGGTTGACTCCCCAAATGCCTGCAACAAGCAGAGCTGGGCAAGGCTGAAACCAGGAGCCAGGAACCCCGAGTCTCCCACCTGGGTGACATGAGCCCAAATATTTGGTCCATCATCTGCTGCCCCCAGGCACATTAACAGGAAAATAGATTGCAAATTCACAGTAGCTGGGATTGTGATGTGGGATGCAGTTGTACCAAGCAGCAGCTTAACCTGCATGCCACAGTGCCTACCCCTGTGTAGCTTATTTTGATGTTTACAACCTCATCTGCAAAAGTAATTCTTAGATTATATATTCATGTTTAGAACTAAACAATATTTTTGAAATACTTCTTGCTATAATAATTGGATACTATCTAACCTTTTCTTTCAATGTATATCTACCTTTCAAAGAAATAAATCTCTTATAAAAATAAAAATTGGACAAAAATTCATCCTTTTTGTTATTTTTCATAGTTTTTTTTAGATATTTATTTATTTGAAAGAGTTACACACAGAAGGAGAGGCAGAGAGAGAGAGAGAGAGAGAGAGGTCTTTCATCCACTGACCTGTTCACTCCCCAATTGGCCACAATGGTCAGAGCTGCGCCAGTGTGATGCCGGGAGCCTCCTCCAGGTCTCCCACACGGGTGCAGGGGCCCAAGGTCTTGGGCCATCTTCTACTGCTTTCCCAGGTCATAGCAGAGAGCTGGATTGGAAGTGGAGCAGCTGGGACTATGTGTCACTGCAAGCGACGGCTTTTCATACATTTTTAATTATCTAGGGTGTTTATGCCTCTTAGATTGATTTTGTTTTTATGGAGTATAGTGAGCATGTAAGATACAAGTTTGGATGTATACATGATAAATTTGAAAGCATGCCATGTACATGAGGAGATTAAAAAATAACTGTATAGAAGTGAGTTGTGCTGTTCCTTAAAATGCTATGGATTTCTTTGAAACAGGCTCTTTTATTGGCCCATGATAAGGTTGCTGAGCAGGAAATGCAGCTGGAGCCCATTTCAGAGGAGAGAGTTTATGAAAGCATTGGCCAGTATGGAGGAGAAACTGTAAAAATAGTTCGTATAGAAAAGGCTCGTGATATTCCATTGGTAAGTGTCCCACATCTCTTTTTTTTATTTATTTATTTTACAATTTATTTTATTTATTTGAAAGGCAGAGTTACAGAGAGAGAGGAGGAGGAGAGTTATAGAGATCTTCTATCCATTGGTTCACTCCCTAAATGGCCACATTAGGCCAGGCTGAAGCCAGGAGCTTCATCTGCATCTCCCATGTGGGCCCAGAGGCCCAAGGACCTTATTCTCTACTGCTTTCTCAGGCACACTAGCAGGGAGCTGGATCAGAAGTGGAGCAGTTGGCTGGCGCCATGGCTCACTTGGCTAATCCTCCGCCTGTGGCGCCGGCACCCCAGGTTCTAGTCCCGGTCGGGGTGCTGGATTCTGTCCCGGTTGCTCCTCTTCCAGTCCAGCTCTCTGCTGTGGCCCGGGAGTGCAGTGGAGGATGGCCCAAGTGCTTGGGCCCTGCACCTGTGAGGGAGACCAGGAGGAAGCACCTGGCTCCTGGCTTCAGATTGGTGCAGTGCGGCCGCCATAGCGGCCATTTGGGGAGTGAGCCAACAGAAGGAAGACCTTCTCTCTGTCTCACTGTCTAACTCTGCCTGTCAAAAAAAAAAAAAAAAAAAAGAGTGGAGCAGTTGAAACTCCAACCAGTGTCCATATAGGATGCCAGCAGCCAGCATTATAGGCAGTGACTCAACCCATTATGCCACAACGCTGGGCCCTCTGTCCCACATCTCTTATCTGAGATTATTTCTACACAAAGATCTTGGGTGTGGCAGGTGGTTGAAGACCCTATTAACTCATTGGTTGTTTTTCTTTTTAAAGCTTATTTGTTGGAATTCTGTGTTCTTGCCTGTACCTGTTATAGTTGAGAAAAGTTTGTTTATATATGAGGAAAAAAATAAGTAATTTACTTCATTGTTCCCCCAACTTCCTTAATAATTAGAAATTCTGATCTTTTCATGCAGTTGTTTATTGATATAATTACTTAGATATAATTAAAAGTCTGTATTCTGTAATTCTTTAAAATTTTTGTATGTTGAAACTTTTTTCAATTTCTTAGTCTGTTTCCATAAGTTTCTTTATTAGAAGAGAAATATTCTTCAATCCTGGTGGTTCAGATTGTACCTTGAATAACATGGTATATGGAATAAGGAATGTATTTTATAGACAGTTTAACTAGTCTGGCCTTCTCCCCTTCCTCAAAAATAGAAATTAGGAAAGTAATGGCAACGTTTTTAAATGAATGTTTAGGAAAAAAATATTACAAACTCTTGTCTGCTTTCAAGTGTTACTCTATATCTTGTATTTCCAGTGTCTGAACATACATTTTTAATTTTTGCTTCCAATTTGTATAATATTAATGTTTAGTACATTTTAATGTAAATTGGATGCAGCTAATAGTTAACATTTGAATAACTAACCAGATTGGTATTTGCCACTACATCATATTAAATTTGAAAAAACTTTTCGTAAATTAAGAGTCATTTTCACTAACCACACCAAAATGCGGTATAATCATTTGAATAGGATCTGGCGTGTGGAGAACAAACTTGATTATAGGTCTTGTTTTTAAGCAAATGCATTCTTCTGCTGGTGTATACTTCAAAAATCTGCTTCGTTTCAGAATTCTAATCAGTAGAGTGTTTCTGAAGCAGAAAATGTTGTGAGAATATGGTCAGCTTTCAAATCTAATTACAGTTACTACTCTGTGTAAGTAAATTTTTTTCTCAAGATTATTGAAGGCAAGTGTTTTTTAGTTTTTGTTGTTTTTAAAGATGTATTAATTTGGAGGGCAGAGTTTGTACACAACAGACACACACACACACACAGATGGGTCTTCCATCTGCTGGTTCACTCCCCAAGTGACTGGGCCAATCCAGAGCCAATAGCTGCTTCTTCAGATCTCCCAGGTGGGTTCAGAGACCCATGAACTTGAGCCATCTTCTGCTACTTTCCCAGGCACATTAGGAGGGTTAGTATTGTTGAATAGAACAAATTAGTACTTTAAAATGAAGAAATATTTAAAAAAATTGCATTTTTATTTTAAAATTAGATGTTTTATTTTATTCTTGTTTCTGTTTTTTTTAGGGTGCTACAGTTCGCAATGAAATGGAATCTGTGATCATTAGCCGGATAGTAAAAGGTGGTGCTGCTGAGAAAAGTGGTCTGTTACACGAAGGAGATGAAGTCCTGGAGATTAATGGCATTGAAATTCGAGGGAAAGATGTCAATGAGGTTTTTGACATATTGGTAAGTTGACAAAGGTGGAAGAATAATTGATTTGTTGCTAGACTTTAGAATAAGTTATTTTTGAAGCATTTTAAAAATAACTGATAAGAGTACTTGATGATTTCTAGCCTGATTTTTGCATGATTTAATTGTTCCACAATATTTATTAATAGAGAATTTTTATGGTTTTTTTTTCTGATGGGTACCGCTGAGTTATATATACACACACACACACATACATATATATGTAAAATTTTTTTACTTTTGGCTTTATTACTAAAAGCTATATTGCTTTGTGCAATCAGTAGTAATATAACTCATTAATTCAGTCAATAATACTGAGTTCCTACTATGCCCTAGACACTGGGGAAGTATTAACAAAACAAAGCCAGTGTCGTCTTTTTGTGTGTGTGTGTGTGTGTGTGTGTAAGATTTATTTTTTTGAAAGAGTGACAGAGGGAGGGAGAAAATGAGAGAGATCTTCCATCTGCTGGTTCACTTCCCAATGGCTGCAAAGCCAGGTGTCCAGAACTCCATCCTGGTCTTCCATGTGGGTGGTAGGGGCCCAAGCACATGGGCCATCCTTCGCTGCTTTTCCAGGCATATAAGCAGGAAGCTGGATCAGAAGTGGAGCAGCCAGGACTCCAACCAGCGCTCACATATGAGATGCCAGCATTTCATGCAGCACCTTAACCTTCTGCCTTTGCCTCATGATTTTAATTGTTGTGTTTTCTTCAAGTGCTGAAGAGCAATATATGTCCAATGGCTACCATATTAAGATGCAGATTAATTGCAGAAATAAGCATGTTATTTATAGTCATCTTGTGAGGACAGTTTATGATCGCTTTGTATGAACTCAGAGACCAGATGTGTATTCTCATTTCCTTAGCATTGGTTGTTAGAGTTGTAAATTGTAGAAAACATCCTCATGTTCTGTTCTGTTCTGTTCCGTCCTCCCTCCCTCCCTCCCTTCCTTCCTTCTTTGCTTTGGTAGAGCAAACTACCACTGATCATGATCATCATTTTTAGCCCTCTTTTATTAGCTGGTAAATTTAGGTTGAGCACTGTTTTCTGCGATATTAGTAGCAGAAGTTGTGATGATTACTTTGCTAGAGGTTTCTAAACAAAGCAGTTAATGATATACTGGGAAATAATAGTGAATCTGGCAGTTAGATACCCTACAGTTAAAAATCAGAATGCAGGGCCAGCACTGTGGTATAGTAAGCTGAGCCCTCCATCTGCAGTGCCAGCATCCCATATGGGCTCCAGTTTGTGTCCCGGCTGCTCCTCTTCCCATCCAGCTCTCTGCTGTGGCCTGGGAAAGCAGTGGAAGATGGCCCCAAGTCCTTGGACCCCTGCACCTATGTGGGAGACCAGATGAGCCCAACTCTGGCCATTGCAGTCATTTGAGGAGTGAACCAGCTGATGGAATACCTTTCTCTCTGTCTCTCCCTCTCTCTGTCTGTAACTACCTCTCAAATAAATAAAATCTTCAAAAAAAATTAGAATGAGTGACAAAAATGAGGCATCTGGGAGTTGAGTATATTTGTGCTGTTTTTCTCATCCCAGTCACAATTTTTCAAATTTTGTTTTAATCAGAGTAGATAACCCATAACTGTTACAGCAGTACAGCATCTTTCAGCCCTTCGTTATAGGATCTTCCTAAACTTAACTTGAATAAAAAATAAAAACCCAAGATTTGTAGGCTAAATGGCTTCCCCCAAAGGACCAGAATTAATTATAGAATGTCATAATCTGGGATAACTAATATAACAGAATCCATGAAGGATTAAGTTACATTTCCTGATGAAAAGTAGCTCATCTGTATTGATTTTTTTTTAAAGTTTACAAAGGGGTTCTTGAGTAGTCTAGGTTGGGAAATACTGATCATAAGATGATGATGGAATTATTTTAATAAATGCAGATTTTAAAACTAACTGGATCTTTCTATTACAGTCTGATATGCATGGTACTTTGACATTTGTTCTGATTCCCAGTCAACACATCAAACCTCCTCCTGCCAAAGAAACTGTAGTAAGTTTTTTTTTTTTTTCCCCTTTAATGTTCATTGGTTTCTCCACCCCACCCCGTGGCTCTGTTTATTTCTCTGTATCAGAAATGGCACTCTAAATATTTCCTACACTCATGTAAAAAGAGGTAAATTCAGTAGTTTTTTTTAAAAAAATATATAAAATTGCAAAATTTCAAATTGGATAAACAACCTTTGTAAAATAAAAAATAGAAAAGATTTTTTTTGTGACTTCTAACATTGAACTTTCTCATTTTTGTAGTTATAAGTGAGCTTATTTAACTTAAACATACTTCGTATAGGGGGAAAAAGTGTTTTTAGAGAGTGTATTGCTGTATCTTAAGCATTTATTCAGCTAGTTCTATTAAAACATAAACTTCATTACTGACCCAGTAATTCCACTCCTAGGTTTATATCCAAGGTAATTGAATATATATAAGGGTATGTCAAAAACTTAATGAAAAAGTTGATTTAAAGGTATTTATTTTGGTGGAAAAAGGTTTTGAACTCTGCATAATTTTTTTTCATGATAGGCCATTTCTGTGAACTTTTTGGTACCTTTGTACATTCTCACAAGGACTTGGAGTCCTTGTTCGTAAGAGCATTGTTCGTATAATATAGCCAGAAAATAGAAACAGTCAAATGCCCTCCCGATGATGAATTTATATATAGACCATATTTTATTTTCCAATGGGATAGTTCTTGGTAATAGGAAAGGCTAAAGTATATACATGTGCTACAATATGGATGAACCTTTAAAAAATTATGCTAAGAGAAAGAAGCCAGTCACAAGGGGCCATGAATTAGTTAATTTACATGAATTGTCCAGCATAGGTAAATCTATAGGGACTGAAAGTTGAGTAGGAGTCCCTTGTAAGTGGAGGTGGGGACTTAGGAGAAAATGGGAGTGATTGATAATTGGAGTGCAGGGAAATTGATTTAGGGCCGGCGCCGTGGCTCACTAGGCTAATCCTCCGCCTAGCGGCGCTGGCACACCGGGTTGTAGTCCCAGTCGGGGCGCCAGATTCTGTCCCAGTTGCCCCTCTTCCAGCCAGCTCTCTGCTGTGGCGAGGGAGTGCAGTGGAGGATGGCCCAAGTGCTTGGGCCCTGAACCCCACTCTGCCTGTCAAAAAAAAAAAAAAAGAAAAAAAAGAAATTGATTTAGATAATTTTAACAATTTGGGGTGACCTATTCATGAACCTGACATTTTAAAAGAAACACTGAGAGAGATTAAGGTGTGGTTGCACTGACAGTGGAATCAAGAGACTAACATCCCAGGAAAACGGACACACCTGCTTATAAAATGAGCTATAATAAGGTTGAAAGTCTGTCCTTTTTGATAGCAGTGGTTTAGAAACTGCATACCTTATTGCAAAAGTCATTGTTTTCACATGCCAGGTGGTTTCTGTTTCTTCTGCTTCACTCAAGCCCTTGGGCCACCTTTGTGTATACCAGCTTATTAGCTGCTAAAAATAAAATGATTTAGATACTCTTTAAGTGTTCACACTCATCATAGAGAAGACAACAGCTGAGCCTGGGCAAATACTACCCAAAAATACGATTACTTAAATGAACACCCTTTTTTCAACTCATAATTTATTTGCACTAATGAAAAATCCCTAACAGTATATATCTGTTAAATATTTATATTGCCATTTTACTGTTATTTTATTTTTTATTTTATCTTTTAGATCCATGTTAAGGCTCATTTTGACTATGACCCCTCAGATGACCCTTATGTTCCATGTCGAGAGTTAGGTCTGTCTTTTCAAAAAGGGGATATTCTTCATGTGATCAGTCAAGAAGATCCAAACTGGTGGCAGGCCTACAGGGAGGGGGATGAAGATAACCAACCTTTAGCTGGGCTTGTTCCAGGTAAGAGACAATGTAGTAGAAAGTACATGGTATTAAAAAAAAAAAAAAAAAGTGAAATCCAAACCCTCACGAAGAAAAACTTACTTTTTCATGCTTTGAAACAGATTTGCTTTTTCATGTAGTTGTATTGTTTTCCCCACCTTCCTGTTCCCACTTCCCATGTAGTTGTGTTTTTATGCAGTAGCTGCCGGATGTATTTTCTTGAATGGCAGTGTGATCAGAAGAAAAATAACACCACCAGATTTATCATAGCTAAAAATCAAGAAGATTTTTTTGGGTGTGAAAAATTTCAACATAATGTTTACTTTTGTTCTTATATGTCTGAGGTCTTTTCGCTCTAAAACCCTAAAGCCAGGACAGTTGTTTGCACAGTGGTTGAGGTGCTGCTTGGGATGCCCACATCCCATTAAATGGAGAGTCTATGTTTGAGACCCAGCTCTGCTTCTAATCTAGTTTCCTCCTAATGCGCATTCTGGGAGGTGATAAGTACTTGCATCACTGCCACCAGGTGGGAGGCCCAGATTGAATTCCTTGCTCCTGGCTTCAGCCTGACCCATCCCCATCTATGGCAGGCATTTGGGGAGTGAACCAGCATATAGATCTCTCTCTGATTCTCTGCTCCTCAAATAAAATGAAAATAAATAAAAATTAAAACTCCAAAGCTGGAAACAGATTTTGTCTGTAGTCAGTCATATTTCAAAGAGATAAGGGCTACAGAGGATGCTATAATCTGATTCTTCAGAGCAGCAGTTACAGGATATCCTCTGGAATCCTGGAATGTTAGGCAGCCATCATACTTCTATGTATTCGTTGTGCCAGATGTCAATTTGATATCTTAACATGCGAGCCTTAGCCCATAACTATTTAGAACTAATGTTGATGGATTGATTTTTTGAATGTAAATAGATTTCAGTGACATTTCTAAGTCTTTTTAGAGGACTACTAAATGGACCCACCTTAGTTTGACAATGGTTTTCAATAATCAGAAGGATTAAGTGGCCATTATAAACATCTTACAGTGTTCATATCATGAAAAATAAATGCCACAGAAGTACATAACTGTAATGCTTTTAAACATTTTAATATGTGAATGATTCTTAGAGGCTATGAAATATTTATTTTAAATTTTGAATGCTCTTAAAAATTTTCTGTAGTCATAGTTACTTGGTTTACAATGAATACAATGCAGAGCTCCTGGAGATAACCAGGTTTCTTTTAATGCTTCTTACATGTCTCACCCTCAGTGTTTTTGCTTGTGCTCTTTATGAAATGTACTAAATTCTACAGGTTATACCAACATACATAGAATTTGTTTCTTAAAGAACCCCTGCTTGAAGAATTGGATATAAAACTAAATCTCCAGTGTAATCCAGAATTTTCTAAGAAAAATCTCTTTGTCCTTCGAAAAAAAATTATATAGTAAGGTAGAGGTCTGAAAAGAAGACAGAAACTTTGAAAGCTTCCTATATTTAATGCTGTGGCATCATAGGCAAAACCTCTGCCTATGGCACCAGCATCCCATATGGGCGCCAGTTCGTGTCCCAGCTGTTCCTCTTCCTATCTAGCTCTCTGTTTACAGCCTGGAAAAGCAGTGGAAGATGGCCCAAGTGCTTGGGTCGTTGTGCCCATGTGGGAGTCCTGGAAGAAGCTCTTGGCTTCTGATTAGCTCAGTTCTAGCCACTGCAGCCATTTGGAGAATGAACCAGCGTATGGAAGACCTTTCTCTCTGTCTCTCCTTTGACATAGAAAATGCTCACTGAGAGCTTTTAAACAGTTGAGCTATTAAATTTTCTAGTATTTGCTTTTATGTATATTTTCTAATACATAATATATGTTCCAGTAATGCATATCATAGGATTAGTTGAATAGAGTTGAAACAATATTTTCAACAGTTGGAGGTTTATATACCAGAGCTAGCATTACTTTCATAGGGTGTAGGAAGATTTGGAAGGAAATATAAATGAAGAGTTAGCATGGTATTTTCTCATTGATTGAAAAAAGACTTTATCTTAACTATTTTGCCCTTTTCTTTCTTTTTGCTGTTAAGGAAAAAGCTTTCAACAACAAAGGGAAGCCATGAAGCATACCATAGAAGAAGATAAGGAGCCAGAAAAATCAGGTTAGATATATGTTTACCTTAGTAAGAGGTTTCTTGAGTCTTCGTCTTTAATCATGTTTAAATTTGTGTATCAGAACTTTTAAGAAATAAATTTGTGAAAAGAGTGATGTGAGAAACAAAAGTGATTTCCTTAGGACTATAAAGAATGGACCACAGGGCTGATGTGATATGCCAGGTTAAGCCACTACTTACAGTGAAGCTGCACTTCTAGTCAGCTTCTTGTTTAATGCACCTGAAAAAGCATGGAAAATGGCCGAAATGGCCCAATGATCACCTGTGTGGAGGACCCAGATGGAATTTGAGGCTCCTGGCCTCAGCCTGGGGAAAGGAACCAGCAGATAAAAGATTCATTTTTCTCTCTCTCTCACTCTTTCAAATAAAATAAATTGCTAAAAAATACAAAATTTAGATATTAAAGATTTTTTTATTATTTATTATTTATTATTATGGAAAGCTAGACTAAAAAATGATCTATGAACAGTTTAATAAGAGTAGATACACTTAAATTAATTGGGGCAAGCATTTGGCACAGCAGTTAACATGTTGCTTGAGATACCCACCTCCCATATAAAGTCCCAGCTTGACTTCTGATTCCAGCTAATGTGCACCCTGGGAGGCAGCAGACAGTAGTGACTCAAGTACTTGGGACCCTGCCACCCATGTGGAAAACAAGGATTGAATTCCTGGTTCCTGGTTTTGGCCTGGGCCAGCCCAGATGGTTGGGGCATTTGGGGAGTGAACCAGCACATGGAAGAGGGGTGTGTGTGTGTGTGTGTGTGTGTGTATCTTTACCTTTCAAATAAAATGAAAAAAAATTTTGAAAAACTTGTTAAACAATTTGAATTATTTAAAATATGTACTTTGTTCAAGAAAACATGCCATATTTATTAATTCATTTGATTGCTCAACAGGAAAACTATGGTGTGCAAAGAAAAATAAAAAGAAAAGGAAAAAGGTTTTATATAATGCCAATAAAAATGATGGTAAGTTCTACTCTCAGGTGGTGGAATTTATATCTGAAGGGGTCTGAATCTAATAATACGTGAACTGATATTTTCATGAAGTTTTATTTCTAGTCCCATTTTGCCTATTAATGGAATATGTGCTTGAGAAAATTTTTCAGTAGGAATTTTCTTTTGGAGTCCCGTGAGTAATGCAGTGTATAATTGGGGGAAAATGGTATAAACATTAGAGTACTATGTAGTATATGTGTATGTGGTATAAAATTGATGGTTTCCATTTTTTTATTATTTAAACCTGTAAAATTAACACTTGCTTCTAACAAGTTCTTTAAAAACAGATGTATTTGAAGTAAAACATAACTCACGTTACAGAGCCAATCCATTCCACAGAGCCCACTAACTGAGTGAGGCACACTCTTTAATTGACTATTAAGATTAAAAAGATTTAAAGTCATTGCTGCCCTTAAAATCAAAAGCTCTGATGACCCTGGGCTTGTATTCCCAATGACAAGTCCCCTGGACCTGACAGATGGCTATTGCCCTACCATTGGGCACCTTTTATTTAGTCAAATAGTTTCCACCACTCCCAGTTTCTTATACACTAATGAAGATAAAATGTTTACGGATGGTTGAGATATTCCACACAAAGCTAAATCTGAGATTTGAGCCACTTTAATAAGCAGCATATTTAATTCCCTTCTCAGCACATGTTTCTCTCAAAAATACCAGGTTTCTTCCAATATTTATAATATTTATAATGTGGTAACATTTTGATTTACAAATTTGGTTTGTGTATCTGTAGCTTTGCCAGTGCTCTGCACAGAACCTGTGAACAGTTGCTTTGAACACTTATTCTGGGCCAGGCTCTGCTGAGCGCTGACAAACCTAAGATGGGTCTCTGCCCTTGTGGAATCTAGTGCTGACTGGGTCTCATACATGAGGCTGCTGCGTCCCAGTCAGGTGAAGTAATAGGAGTGAGGGCAAGGCAGACTGCTGGTTGTCTGCTTTTTTTCTTGCCACTTAACAGCTCTGATTTCATCTGGATAATGGGCTTTAGGAATGTTACCCCACCCATCATGACTCTAGGATAGTGTTCCAAAATAAAGTAAATATAAATGCAGAAAGTATGAATAGCATGAGTATGACCTGTTAACAAGTTACACAACTACAGGAAAGTTTTCCAGCTTCTCTGATAGCTGGTTATAGCAGTGTGTAAATACCTGTGTCAGCTGTTGTGCTCAGCATGTACATTCTGTCTGATCCTTGAAACTATCCTCTTGAGTAGAAGTATCTGCATTGTACAAAAATGACATAATTTTTCTCATTAATTTATATAAGGGTCAATACAACTTTTTTAGCCATTCAAACAATATGAAACAAGATAAGCTGTAAAAAAATTCTCAAAAGATTAGTAGTATATTGTTAGATTCATTTTCTTAGTGTCCTGGCAAAGCTATAAGGACATGGGAAAATGCTCATGATATAGTACTACCATCTACTACCATCTTGATCCAAAAAGTTAAGTATTTTAATGATAATAAAGTGTCCATAATTGGGGGTAGGGTGAGGAGGGACAGATCTGTATATCATTATATGGCAGTAATCTAATTTGTCTGAAGAGCTAACTTTTTCTTTTCCAAAGATTATGACAATGAGGAGATCTTAACTTATGAGGAAATGTCACTTTACCATCAGCCAGCAAATAGGAAAAGACCTATCATTCTAATCGGTCCACAGAACTGTGGCCAGAATGAATTGCGTCAGAGGCTCATGAACAAAGAAAAGGACCGCTTTGCATCTGCAGTTCCTCGTAAGTTTGGATGCGCTCCCATTTTCCTGTCTACTCAATTTACCTGCACCCTCGGAACGTAACTGTGAAGGGAGATATTTCATCAAGGTTGTCAATGAAAGAGGATGTTTGTTTAACCAGATGTTTGACAATTTTTTAAAGATAGTTGTTCTTGAAAAAGACCTGGAAGAAGCTCTTGGCTCCTGGCTTCAGCCTGGCCCAGCTCACGCTGTTGCGGCCATTTGGGAGTGAACCAGCAGACAGGAAATCTTTGCCTCTCTTTGTCTATAACTCTGCCTCTCAAATATTTGTATATGTATATATGCTTTTTAAAGTGGAAGCATAAAACATATTAAGATAATTAGGGGAGAGTGATTGCCATAGAAGTTAAGGTGCCTTAGATACTCATCCTATGTCAAAGTCCCTGAGTTCAAGTTCTGGCTTTAATCCTGATTCTTCTTTTCTGCTAACGTGCAGAACCTGAGAGGCAGCAAGTGATGGTCAAGTAGCTGAAGTACCACATGGGAAACCTGGATTGACTTCCTGGCTCCAGGGCTTTTAGGGAGTGAACCAGCTAGCTGATGGGAGCTCTGTCAGTCTTTGCCTCTCTAATTAATTAATTTTTAAAAATGGAGGGCTGGTGTTGTGGCATAGCAGGTTAAGCCTCCGCCTGTGATGCTGGCATCTCAAATGGAGGTAGGTTCACGACCCAGCTGCCCCACTGTCGATTCAGCTCCCTGCTGACGTGCCTGTGAAAACAGTGGAGGATGACCCAAGTGCTTGGGCCCCTAGACTCCTATGGGAGACCTAGAAGTAGCTTTAGGATCCTAGCTTCGGCCTGGCCCAGCACTGGCTGTTGGGGCCATTTGGGGAGTGAACCAGTGGATGGAAGACCTCTTTCTTTTTCTCTTTGTCTCTCCTCCTCTCTGTAATTCTACCTTTCAAATAAATAAAAAATGAATCTTAAAAAACATATTAGGGTAATTAAATGTAACTGTTAAGGTAATACACATTTTTGTTCGTTCCTCAATGAAGGTGTAAATACACTAGCTCTTAACATTTCCTCAGTTCATTATTTCATAATCTGTATTACAAAATGATTCTAATTTGCAAAATAATCCTGCGTCTTCACTCTGATTCATGTCCATTATTTTTATCTGATTTTATTTGCCTAGATACAACTCGGAGTAGGCGAGACCATGAAGTAGCTGGTAGAGATTACCACTTTGTTTCACGGCAAGCATTTGAGGCAGACATAGCCGCTGGAAAGTTCATTGAGCATGGTGAATTTGAGAAAAATTTGTATGGAACCAGCATAGATTCTGTACGGCAAGTGATCAACTCTGGCAAAATATGTCTTTTAAGTCTACGTACACAGGTAAAGCTAAAATTTTGATCCAGGGTGTGAAAATTAGAGGATAACATAATTAGCAGAAACTATTTTGGTCTAGTAACAATAAGGCATAATTACATTCTTAACTGTTTTCTGACTGATTTGCTGTGTAAAATCAGGTTGCTAAGTTTCAGTTTTCGTAGAGGAGAAAATACACACATTCTTATGTACGATAACATACTTTCTCAAAATACAGTAAATATAGGGGCTGGTGTTGTTCGTACAGCAGTCACACCACAGGTTGCCATATTGGATGCCACTTGGGATGCCTGTGTCCCGTCTCTACTTCTGATTCCCGCTTCCTGCACTATACCTCAAGTACCTGACCCCTTGCTAGCCAGATTGTGTTCCAGGCCCCTGACTTTGGCCTAGTGTTGGCTGTTGTGGGCATTTGGGGAGTGAACCAGCAGGTGGGCAGTTGTCTGTCTCTGCCTTTCAGAATAATGAATTGACTCTGAAATGGCTATCCTAAAATAGTAGCTAGGTGTTCTTAAGTTTTTTTTTTTTAAGTGGATAAAAACATTTAGGCTGTATTATGAAAGGACTTCAAAAAATTTATGAAAAAAATGGAATTGAAAGTTAGCTATTTGGGTGCAAAAAACTTTTTTAACTCCATGCTTACTTTTTCCATAATATGCATTTCCATGAACTGTCGAAGATCATTCATATTTCAGTTGTACACATTTGATTTAGAGAAGGATAAATGGTTTTACTAAATTCTTTCAGAATGGCTTATATTATTTGGGCTGACAGATTTTACCAAAGAACTCAGAGTAGTTAAACATACTGTTTTACATCTTAACATTGAAAAGGCCATTTCCCTATAATCTCCATTTTGGTGGAACACTTCAGTTTAAAGACACACTGTGATGGAGTGAAGACAAAGTGAAAACCACAATCTCCTAATTGAAACAGTCTTTTTTTTTCCCTTACATGTGCTTTTTCAGAATTTTCTTTGCATGTGTATATGAGGTTTTTCTGGTTGTATTTGTACTTAAAGGCAGACAGACATCTTGATCCTAACACCTGAAGTGGATTTTTAAAATATGGTTATTATAATCTGTATGTGATCTTATTTTAGTTTCACATGGTTGTCACGCTTGAATGTCATACTATATCATTCACTTAAGTTTCATTACATAAAAGAACAAGCCATATGTATGTAAGTATATATATACACACATATGTATGTAAATATATATGCACATTACATATATGTTTTATACATACATAGATACATACATGTATGTATATAGCTACACAGTATCTTCTTGCAGTGAATGATTTTATGTTACAATATTGAACTTGTTTCTTCTAAAGTATTTGGGAACACTCATTGACAATACTTTTTAAAATTACATTACTGTATTACTGAGAAGTATTTAAATGATGGAAATTGTTTTTAAAATCCAAATATCTTTTCTTTGCAGTCTTTGAAGACCCTCCGGAATTCAGATTTAAAACCATATATTATCTTCATTGCACCCCCTTCACAAGAAAGACTTCGAGCATTATTGGCCAAAGAGGGCAAGAATCCAAAGGTAAAGTTGGATGATCTTGTACTATTCCATTAAAGAGAAACATAATTTCATCCTGATCTAATCTGTCACAGTGCTTAAAAGTGGTATCAGCTTGGGCTTTCAGTTTGAGTATTCTTTGTGTGATAGCACTTATCCCAAAATTGCCATGTTTGCCACCAGTAAGACTATGGCAGCTCTCCAAAGTAGAAGTCTTCTCTTTTCCCCACACATTCCCTGTTGTTATCTGCAAATGTATGGTAGTCTTTGAGATAGGATCCTTAAAACGTCTTTAATCTTCTCTATGTGGTCTGTGACATTTCCAGGAGAATTATGTGGACCCCACCAAAATTCTCAGCAAACTCTCATGCATTACACATTTTTTTCCTTTAGATAGTTCACATTTGCAGGGAGCCAAATTTGAGTGTTTTTGCTTTTCTCTTTTTTTCATATTGAAGCATTTATGTTCTGTTTTTCTTCTTCTTTTAGTCTGATAGACTGCAATCTGATAGATAAAAGCAATTGTAAAAAGTATTTTAGATCTGTGCTAGATGTGGAAGAAATAGTCCATATGGTATGAAAACTAGACCAGAAGTACCGTAGGTGATAAAGCAAAAGGATGTATACAAGGGACCAGGGAAGACTCCATTCTCCTTTTCAGTCTAATTTTCTGTTTTCATTATGACATGCACACTTTTTTTAAAAAAAAAGATTTATTTATTTATTTGAAAGCAGAGGCAGAATGAGAAGTCTTCCATCCACTGGTTCACTCCCCAAATGGCCGCAGTGGCCAGAACCGGGCCAGTCTGAAACCAGGAACCAGGAGCTTCATCCGGGTCTCCCACGCGGATACAGGGATCCAAAGACTTGGGCCATCCTCTGCTGTTTCCCCAGGCCATAGCAGAGAGCTGGATGGGAAGTGGGTCAGCCAGGACTCAAACAGGTGCCCATGTAGGATGCCAGCGCTGCAGATGGTGGCTTTACCTGCTATGCCACAGCATCGGCCCTGACATTGCACACTTATTTATTTTTAGGCTGAAGAGAACATTGTTATTTCATCAAGAGCCATAAATGGGGGCCAGAACATGTTAAAGTCCTTTTATACTCCTTTGAAGTTAAAACCTCTGCATTCTTCCTTGGGCAACTGTGAATCTGCTTCCTGTCATAGATTTATTTTGTCTGTCAACAAAAGTGCATCTAAATGGAACCATGCAGTATGTTTAACTTTGTGTCTGGCTTTTGATCAGCATGTTTTTGAGATTCATCTGTATTGCATCTAACAGTTCATTCATTCTTAATGTAAATATACCACAAGTTGTTTATTCTCCAGTTTAAACTATTTGGATTTTTTTCCCATTTTTAACTTGTCTAATTAAAGCTGCTCTGAACATTTACGTAGTGTTTTGATGGACCTATGTTTTCCTTTCTCTTGGCTATATAACTAGAATTGCTGTATCAAATAGTCTGTGTTTTAACTGTATTAAAACTGGATGCAGCGTCGTGCAGTAGGTTACACTGCTGCCTATAACATTAGCATCTCAAATCAGATCGCTGGTTCAAGCAGCTCTCTGCTAATGCACCAGAGAAGGCAGCCAGAGATGGCCCAAATACCTGGACCCTTGCCACCCGCATGGGATACCTCAATGGGGTTCTGGGCTCCTAGGTTCTGCGCCTGTCATTGCAGTGATTTGTGGAGCAAAACATCAGGTGGGGGATCTTTCTCTGCCTCTCCCTCTGTTTCTGTCACCCTGCCTTTCCCATAATAAAAGAAATCTTAAAAAAATCTGCTAAACTGTTTCAAAAAGTTTACCATTTTACTGCCCCCACCACCACCACCAGAGTGTGATGGTACCAGTTGTCCAAATCTTTACCAACTTTGGCTACTGTTGGTTTGTAATATTATTTTATCATTGGAATAGGTGTTATTAATATTATTATGGTTTTTATTTTCATTTTCCTGATGACTAGTGATAATCTTTCCATACAGCCATTTGGGCATATTCTGTGAAATGCCTCAAGCATTCTCATTTTTTAAAACTGGGCTGTTTTTCTTACTGAGTTACAAGACATATGGATATATGAAGCCATTATCAGGGGTGTAAATTGCAAATAGTTCAAGTATTTTTTAATAATACCTTTAATTAATAAGATTCACTTTAATTTTTCTTATGGTTAATGATTGTTGTGTATGTCTAGATCTATAATCTATCTCAAATTCATCTTTGCTTTCATGTGAGGTTTGAGTGAAGAGTTTTGTTTTTAATTGCAAGTTGATATCCAGTTTCTCTATCACTGTTCGTTGAAAAGACTGTCCTTTTCCCTTTTCCCATTATATTATATTGATATGTCAAAAAGGACTGGCAGATTATTTTTGAACTCTCTTCCTGTGTATGCTGATACCACACTGTCTTGATTACTATAGCTTTAAGTCTGAAAAACAAGGCAATAAAAAGGAATGAAATACTGATATTTACATGCTGCAGTATGGAACCTTAAGACATTGTACTAGATGAAATGACACCAAGTACAGTAGATCACATGTTATTATTGCATTTATATACAGTGTACAGAATGGGAAATAGACCTAAAATAGATGTGGTCACTCACAGCTGGGGCTTGGGAGAAGAGAGTGACTGCTAGTTAAGCTTCTTTTGGGTGTGGGAAATAGGGAATGGGTAAGGCAAATGTTCTAAAATTGATTGCAGTGTCAGTCACACCACTCAGTGACAATACTAAACACTGCTGAATTATATACCTTAAATGGATACATTGTATGGATATGGATAAGTTAAACATAGCTCAATAATGCTATTAAACAAAAAATCCCAGCAGATTTTTCTGTAATTTAAAACTTGATATGGAAATTAGAAGTTTTAACCATAAAACTTTAGAAAAAGAAAGGAGATGGCTTTTGTCTTTTTCTATTTAACCCTCCTCATTTTTTAATTTGCAGTTGCCATAGTTTCTGAAGATAAACACTTATTTTAATCTTTCTTTTTAAATATAGGCATTGGTGGTTATATATTTTCCTCTAAGCAAAAGCAGTTCTCTAATTACATACACCTCAGAAGCTTTTTTTTTTTTTTTTAATTTTATTTATTTATTTGAGAGTTAGAGTTACAGACAGTGAGAGGGAGAGACAGAGAGAGACGTCTTCCATCCATTGGTTCATTCCCCAAATGGCTACAACGGCCAGAGCTACGCCAGTCCAAGGCCAGGAGCCAAGTGCCTCTGCCTGGTCTCCCACACAGGTGCAGGGGCCCAAGGACTCAGGCCATCTGCTGCTGCTTTCCCGGGCCATAGCAGAGAGCTGGATTGGAAGAGCAGTAGCCGGGACTACAACCGGTGCCCATATGGGATTCCGGCGCTGCAGGCGGAGGATTAACCTACTGCACCACATCGCTGGCCCCTCAGTAGCTTTTAAATAATATTTTTATTATCATTTTGTTAGAAATATTTTCTAATTTCCCTTTTCATTTTCTTCTTTAGCCCAGGAGTTATTTAAAAGTATGTTATTTCCATTTTCTGCTTAGCCACACTTCCACCTGTTTGGGGACTTAAAAATTTAACACCTTAATGATTTATAGTTCCATTGTGATCAGATTATAGACCCTCTGAGTTTTGGCTTCATCAGTGTTGCATGTACACCTATAAAAAACATGTATTCTGTATTAGGTAGAGGATTGGTGTATCAAATTCTTTTTATTTCACTTTTTTTTATCTCCTTTATTTCTCATGTGTTTTATTACTCACATGATTGAAATGTTGAATGAAAACAAATCTTCCATTTTAATTATGGAATTGTGTTAAGAAAGTAGTGTAATTGGATGAAAAAGTGTAACTACTCATTCAGTTACCTAATTGTGCACTGAATCTATTCAGCTGGTGCAGAATCTTGAGAGTGGTTAATTGAACAGCATAAATTGATGGTCAATTTTGGCTGTTATTTTTGGTTGTTTTTTATTACAAAATATTTTGAACTAACACATTTTACTTCATCTTAGTCTTAGATTGTAATTTGGAAGAGAAATTCAGACAAAGTACTAAATAAATTGTGATTATTTTAGCATAAGATGAAGTAATGCCTTGAATTTGATTAACACTAGGTGGAGTGGGGCTTAGCATTTACATTTCAACTCTAGGACCACAAATTTTCTATCCTGTGGAGTCTTATAATGTTCTTTCAATAATATTGAGCTTTGAGTACACATAAATTTTAGCTAAAATGTCAGTGTGTTCAGTTACAATGGTGAAGTAGAGCCCCTGCTAAGGAACAAAGGATTCTGTGTTCCATATTCAGATGCGCAACATTCCAGAATGAAAATTAGAGAGCCATGTGAGAAACTGCCTCAGGACAAGCCAGAGTTGTCTGATCTTTTCATACTGTCAGAGGAGTTCTGTTGAATGAATCAAATTGTTTTGTCCTGTGGATTCAGTACAGTATATGGCTTACACCTGAGACATTTGGTCTTTTTTTTTTTTTTCCCCCCAAAGATTGATTGATTTGAAAGGCAGAGGTAGAGAGAGGGCTTCCAATCTGCTGGTTCACTCCCCAAATGGCCACAATGGCCAGAACTGGGCCAGTCTGAAGCCAGGAGCCAGGAGCATCTTCGGGTCCCCCACGCAAGTGCAGGGGCCTAAGAATTTGGGCCATTCTCTGCTGCCTTCCTAGGCCATAGCAGAGAGCTGGATTGGAAGTGGAGCAGTAGGGTCTCAAACTGGCGCCCATATAGGATGCTGGCACTGCAGGTGGCGGCTTTACCCACTATGCCACAGCACCAGCCCCAGACATTTGGCCTTGAAGTTAATTAGTTATCTTCCTTGACAGGTGATTTGGGGGCTGTTTCACTTTCTTGAGTAACACCTATGCCTCAAAATCAGAGGAATTTAGTTAAGTTTTGCCTACAGCCTTGCCACCTGGTTGGCTCTGTGAACTAGCCCTTCCCTTTACTCTGTATTTTAAATAGAGTACTCTGTTCTGCATAGTTTCCTAAATTGGTAGGTGGTTTTTTTTTTTTTTTTTTTTTTTTTTTTTTTTTTTTTGCCTTTTAACAACTTCATTTGTGTTTTGAAACACAGCAGCGAGTGTTTTCCCCAAAAGTATATATTAGTTTGTTAAATTTTGGGCTAACCAGCCATGTTTTCATAGAAAAGAATACCCATTCTTTAATCCTTTTCTTTTCCCATGGTGTTTTCTCTACCTAACTCTGCCAGATAAAAAGAGCAGGGGTCTTTACAAGATCCAAGAGTAGATGATGTTTTGGGTCCTTGCTCCAAGCAGAAGGTCCATTCCAGGTTACAAAAGATGTTACTTTGGGGAAGAAATTATTATTCCCTAAAATGTTTGAAAACAAGTTTGTAGGGAATTCACAGTAACAGTCTGCATTCTGTGATGTAAGTCAGCCTTTGTTCTTTGGCTCTGACTCATCCTATATTTTGGTAAAGAGAAGAGTCACCTCACAGATTTTATTCTCTTCTTTGCAGCCTGAGGAGTTGAGAGAAATCATTGAGAAGACTAGAGAGATGGAGCAGAACAATGGCCACTACTTTGACACAGCAATTGTGAATTCAGATCTTGATAAAGCCTATCAGGAATTGCTTAGGTTAATTAACAAACTGGACACTGAACCTCAGTGGGTGCCATCCACTTGGCTGAGGTGAAGAAACATCCGTTCGGCAGCATAATTGGATTGGATCTGTCAAGCTGTCAACAGGAAGATATCCTGATACTTCAGCAAGATTGAAGATAAGGTGGAAGGCAGCAGTGTAAGCTGTAGACCTGGTTTTCATCCTTACATCCCTTAAACTAGTGAGGAGAAAGTTCCCTTAGGCAACTGTGTGCACAGCTTTCTTCATTCTCTGCAAATGGCTTTTTAAAGGTTCTTGCCTCACTTTGGGATTCTAAATGGAAGCTTTCAACACAGCAGTTCCATTTTACCCTCTTAAAACCTTTTGTTTTCACCTAAATCTTTTCTGCTTGGCTATATTTCTATAAAAAAAACTTGTATGTATGTACACAATAGTCCATGTCTCATGTACTTATAAATATTGATGTCATTTAACACTTAAATGACTTCATGGGAATATTTTGAAGGGACTGTGCTTTTCTGCATTGGGCAAAAACAGTATTGGCTTAGGAGACTGGTTTAGTGAAAAGAACTTTCCTGAAAAAGAAAAGAAAAAACAAAACGGTGGCACTCTGGTTTGGAGCTACTTTGTTTAGGCTTGAATTTATTTGTATTGTCTTTTTCCTCTAACAAAAAAAAAAAAAAAAAAGAAGCATTCTGTTAGAAGCACCAGCTTTTTAACCCAAGCTTAGTGGCTCAGACTGCACCCCCAGCAGGCTGTAATCCAGTTAAAGGCTTACAGATTATGCTGATCTTTTATAATTTGATTTTTCTTAAATTATTACAATGATTTGATAGCCTCACTTCCTTTCTTTGATCTGCATAGTACAATAGACTATTAGATTTTTATGAATGGCATTAATATAAAACTGTGTTGACTCAAAGTTTCTTCCTCATGATGCAAATAGTTTTTTATATACATGGGAGGACATAACACATTTGACCATTTTTGCATTTTTATACATGAGCACCATAAAAGTCTATGGCTATGCTATGTATGTAGGTAATAAACTGGAATTATGTTGATGAATATAGCTGCTGTACTGTATACTAATTTTAACAGATCGATAAATGGTCATTGATAACACTTGTTCAGCATTGGAATAAAATTTTATATACATATATATCTTAGGGAAATACTATGACAATTGACTTTGAGATCAGAAGGAAAGGAAGACCTGAAAGTCACTTGAACATTTTAGGAAAATAACATTGTGAGGGGGTGGAGGGCATTTCTTAAGCACATAGAAATGAGTTTTTATCCCAATAAGGTGTGCCTGTGATGACAAGAATGGAACAGCTTGCTAAATCATAAAAGCAATGTTTAAGCTAATGGGATTTTTGTACTGTCTGTGTAGTTATAGCTCAACATTTATTACTGGCATGGAAAGTTGTAATCTTTTCAGGCCTTTAAGGATAGTGTGTGTGACAAACCTCAAATGTGAATGTCTTGATTTTATTTTTATGATGACTTTAGCTACAGCATTTCCTGCTCCCAAGCTAAACACTGGAATATACTGACTTATCACTTAATTTAACATAAGTAGTTGTTTGTTTTTAATGAGTATTTTGTTTCAGTGTGATGTATATATTTCATTTTTTTTCTCTTCCATATAATTTTATTTGAACAAATGTAAACAGTTATATGTTGCCTTTTTTGTTCACATTTGCGTAACTTAAGTTGGCTAGAGAGTGTGTCTTATTTGGAAATATTTCAAGATAATGTTCCTTAGGAAGAAAGTATCCTGGGGTTGAGGGAAGGAATATCATATATATGGTCTCTTCAAATCTGAAACACTCCAACTTAGGTCAGGAAAATACAGTGGTCACACCAGTGATTGGCTTTGAAAACCAAGGCATATACTTAGCACTTAATCGTCTCAGTTTTCCAGCTTACATTCTCTAGGAGTGATAGGTAGTCTGGCCAGCAGAATTGTCTGATCTGCCTTGAGTGTAACTGATAGGTGTTTTCAGCAGTCCTGGTAGAGTGAGGTTTCAGGCAGTCAGTGAGCGGCTGTTGTGCCCCAGCAGACAGAGGGGCTTTACTAGGGCCAAGTGCTATCAAGACTCAGACACACGGCTTTAATAAGCAGATTTTATACCAAGGTCCCTGCCATGCTATGCTTTTGGGAAGTACAAGGTAACATATTTTCAGGGTCATTAAAGTAATTCTCTCCTTCCATTGCATAGAAGAAATGTCTGTGTCTCAAACTTTTTCTAAGTGATATGGATATGCTGATATTCAACACAACCCCTAAACAAAGTGAAAACCATTGTTGCTGCCTTCCTCAAAAAAATGAGGATAAAAGCACCTTGTTGTGTACCTAGTTGTAGAGCAGCTCTGGCCAGTTCCATTTCCTGTCCCTCTATGGTCTTGATTGGAGAGCCCTGTGCAAGGGGGAATCTTAACCACTGACAGAAATGATACTAATAGCTAAGAAATATACTTGGAAAATCCAAATAAGGAAATAGCTTCATTTCCAAATTTTCGTTAAGTCAGAACAAATGGAAGGAGAATAATATTTAAACTAATCCAGATTTGCTTTCTATGAAAATCTAATGTCTGGATTGTTCCCCTTTTTTCATGTTCTAAGGAATAAGTAGTGATAAGGAATGATTTGAATGTAATTTTGCGAATGTGTGTGGAAATATAAACCAGGGATTTAGCCTTAATAAAGGTGACCTTTCTGGCATCTGTTGTTAATCTGCCTTCTACCCTCTTGCCCTGCATCTGCACTCTTGTTATTTCGAGATGTCATACTACATGCTGTATTGTACAAATAAAAGGAAAAATATATTGCAAATTTTAAAGCCACCGAGTTCGTTCTCTAGCTGTTTATGTCCTCTCCCACTCAAGGTTTCTACACAAGTGAAGACACCCTCCTCTTCAGATTTTGGCCAGAAGCAAGACCATCAGATGCTCTGAGGTGGGAGAGTAGGGGGGTATTTAATTTGTTCTTTATGTGGGGCATGCCCCCTCTTGGCACAGACTTAAATAGTTACTGTTTCTCTCTTGGTTTTTTTTTTAAGATTTAATTATTTATGTGAGTGGCAGAATTAGAGTTAGATATAGTGGATGTCTTCCATCGACTGGTACACTCCCCAAACAGTAGCACTGAAGCCAGGAACTTCATCTGGGTCTCCCATGTGGATGCAAGGCCTCAGTGCTTGGGCCATCTTTCGCAGCTTTCCCAGGCACATTAGCAAGGAGCTTGATCGGAAGTGAAGCAGCTGGGACTTGAACCAGGGCTCATATGGGATGCTGGCATTGCAGGCAGTGGCTTAACCCGCTGTACCACAACACTGGCCCCACAGTTTTGTTTGTTTGTTTGTTTGTTTTATTTTAAGATTTATTTTATTTATTTGAAAGAGTTACAGAGAGAGGTAGAGACAGAAAGAGAGGTCCTCCATCTGCTGGTTTACTCCCCAGGTGGCCACACAGCTGGAGCCACGCCAATCTGAAGCCAGGAGCCAGGAGCCTACTCTGGGCCTCCCACGTGGGTGCAGGGGCCCAAGGACTTGGGCCATCTTCTGTTGCTTTCCCAGGCCACAGCAGAGAGCTGGATTGGAAGTGGAGCAGCCGGGACTAGAACCAGCGCCCAAATGGGATGCCAGCGCTTCAGGCCAGGGCATTAACCCACTGTGCCACCGCACTGGCCCCTCTAATAAAGTTTTAACAATTAAAAAAACGAGGGCCAGCAAGGTGGCACTTTGTGTAACTCAAATGATATCTTGAGCAAAACAAGCAGCAAACATGCAATACTCTATTAGAGATGGACAGCTTAAGGCTATGAAGCCGAAAGGTTTTTGTGGGAGGAAGAATGTAATACGTGGACAGATTTTACCTCAAAAGCAGCCAGGGACTTGAGAACACTGAGGATAGCATGATAGTTGTTGAAAATATACAACTTCAGCATATTACATGCCTCTATTCATATCCCTTTTTCCTACACTACCACTCTGAGGACACAAATCATACTCAGACATACCTTCTTCACCCCAGTCCAGCTTTCTATTCCCGTTCCTGATCTGGTCCCTCCCCTTGGGATCAGATTACTTCGACTTCACACAGCAAATTACCTGTCTGGTGTTTGCTCTTGATTTCATTTTAACAAATGCTAAACTGGGGCTGGTGCTGTGGCGTGGTGCATTAAAGCCCTGGCCTGAAGCACCGGCATCCCATGTGGGCTCCGGTTGTAGTCCCGGATGCTCCTCTTCCCATCCAGCTCTCTGCTGTGGCCTGGGAGGGCAGTAGAAGATGGCCCACATCCTTGGGCCCCTGCACCCATGTGGGAGACCCAGAAGCAGCTCCTCCTGGCTCCTAGCTTCGGATCAGTGCAGCTCCAGCCGTTGCCACCATCTGGGGAGTGAACCAGCGGATGGAAGACCTCTCTCTCTGTCTCTACCTCTCTCTTTAACTCTGTGTTTCAAATAAAATTTTTTTTAAAAAATGCTAAACCATAAGGGCATTTTCATAGGCAATTTAACCAAAGCCAATAAATATTAGGGCTTTTAAAAAACCACACGGGAAATCTAAAATACTTTGGCCCATGCTTTAAGGTGAACAATGAATTTACCTAAATGAAAAATCACTAAATAATCTGTCTACCCCCTCTCACCTTCAAACTAATTTTGCTTCCTGGAAAAGCAGTATATAATGCTTGACATGAATTTTAGCTGTGCTGTTTGACCTATCCAAGCCTGTTTCCCTAAAAGTTTCCTGTAAAAACAGGACACAATTTATACCTCACCAGGATTTTAGCAGGATTAGATGTTAATTCTGTTGTTAACTTAGTTTTAAAATATTTGTGAACTTAGTTGTTCAGCTTATAATTACTATTAAATATACAATGTGAGATTTAATTCTGCAAGTAACAACAGCATTTCCTGCAAATCAGCTCCTCCAAGACAAGCCCTATCTTACCTTTAAATATCCAAAGTCTCCAATATAGGGGAAGCAAGAAAAAAGTTGAACTTCTATCTTATAAAAACTTTGAAAGCAGACTGCTTTGAATTAAATCCTGGATTTACCACGTTACCTTTTGAAGGTAGGACCAATTACTCAAGCTCCTTGAGCCTCACATGGTTATTAGATAATATCAATGAAATACTTAAAATAGTGCTTGGAACATAATAATTAATGTTACTTTAAATAGTAGTATAAGTGTATGTGGGGCCAGCGCTGTGACACAGCAGGAAAAGCCACCAGCTGCAGGGCTGGCATCCCATATAGGTCAGCTGCAGGGCTGGCACCCCATATAGGCACCAGTTCGAGACCTGGCTGCTCCACTTCCGATCTAGCTCTCTGTCATGGCCTGATGGAAGATGGCCCAAGTCCTTGGGCTCCTGCACTCGCACAGGAGACCTGGAAGAAGCTCCTGGCTTCAGATTGGCCCAGCTCTGCCTGTTGCAGCCATTTGGGGAGTGAACCAGCAGATGGAAGATCTCTCTCACTCTCTGCCTCTGCTTTTCTATAACTCTGGCTTTCAAATAAATAAATCGTTTAAAAAATAAAAATAAAAAATGTATGCATAATAATTTAGTACTTTAAAAAGGTAGACTGTGGTATCAAATGATTAAAATATTAATAAGGGTGGTGTCACAGTTTAACTGTTCCACGACCAAAATGCCTGGAATTGGATGCATGCCAAATCAAACAGTTCTAAAAACATCAACTCTCCTGATAAGTCTGTTCAAATACCTCATCTTCATATATGAAAGACATCAAGTTGTTATAATAAGTTACCTTATTACTTACTCCAAAAGAGCAGTTAGTATTTTCCTTAGATTAGGAAAGAAGTATGACGAAGCCCTGTTAACTCACTGACAATCATTTATCATTAGCCCAGATGCAACAGTTGTCTCAGCCTTTTAGTCTACTGATGAGGAGGAGGGAATTCTATCACGTTTTCTTTGAAGAGAAAGTTCTGTGGATGACAATACTGTGCACTAAGCATAAGAACATGACTTACTCAGCAGTAAATAATGTGGAAACGAACAGCTTATTTTTAAATAATTTTACTCTCTATCATAGTCACATTTAAATTGGCAGAACTGCTCCCCTGACAGACAAGATAAACACCTGTCATGCAAGGAAAGGTAAGTGAGGTACCATGGCAACGCAGGGTGGCTGCAGCAATCTGACAACAGTGCGGGTTTGCAGGTGGGTAGGAATAAGGCCTGCTGCTCAGTAGTTGGCCAGAGAACACTAATGTTTCTTAAGGGTGCTTCCTAAAATGCCTGGCGAGCAGCTCACACACAACAGAGATAAATGGAACACGTGACACCACTGCAGAGTAAATTCTGTGAGTTCCTGGACAGGTTTTACAATTCTCATTCACTTGTGCTAAACGGAAGAATTAGGAGTCTGCAAAAGTAATCTCATCAGTGAGCATCCAGGTAGGTTTTACAATCAGTGAAAGTCTTGGGCCAAAAACAGAAAACAGCCTACACACCACAGATTAACATGGAGCCAGCTTAGGGTTTCTGAAAGAACCGGAGCAGGAGCGATTATTCAAACAGGAGATCTTCATCCTTCTCCTCAGCCAGAAGATTAGCAGGCTCCATCACCTCTCCTGCTGCTCTCCGTTGCTCCAAATCCTTCTCGGATTTTTCCTTGAGAATTTTTTTCTTCTCCTGTATTTTCTTTAGCCTGCAAGATTAAAGGGGGTATCTTCTGAATGCTATTTGTCCTGAGTAGACTTGACTGCTTCTAGTTTTGTAACAAGGATAACAAACACAACTAGAACAAAATTTGGTATGCCCATTAATTTCAGTAATTTATTGATAACCCATTTTTGAAAAAAGATTTGAGGTAGAATACACTCAGCTAATAACTAATTTCAGAAGCTCCTATCCCAAACTGATTTTGAAATCTTCCTAACAGAATATATTCTGAGCATTCAGGTATGTATTAAAATCCTCAGTCACCACAACTCTGAATTTCATTGGAGGGCAAAACTAAATAATCTTTGATAATTAACATAAATCACATTGAGATGGTACTCAAAGTCTAAGACCTGTATGTCACCCCTAAATACTCCTGTTTTCACATACCATCCACTTCTCTACACTGGGTGTATCAACCCTGACACACCACTGATTTAATTGTTTATCCCGACAGCTCTAACATCATAACCAATTCACAGACATGCAGCTTTTCTCTCTTCAGTTCTGTGCTAATTCTCTAATTGTATGATTTATACTATTTGGTAATGTTCCCAAGTACTTTACACCTTCTCCTGAACATATTCAACATGCTATGCATATCTGCCTAGTGACTAATTTGTTTCTACTCTCAGGTTTTCTGTAAAAGACACCCATTATAAATCATAGCTGTGTTGAAGTAATAAATCATTTTTAAACATGTGCAAGACACAGCATGGATTTGTCTCCACAGCATCTAGCAACACCATTCTCCTCCCTTAGCCGTGAGGGATATGTTGCAAGACCCCCAGGGGGTTCCTTAAACAGAACAATTCCAAACTATATATAATTTTTTCCATAGGGATATATATATATATACTTCATATATATGTTGGTTTCACATGTTCAAATTCAACCAACTGCAGATCAAAAATCACTACAGATAGAAAATAGTGTACATACATAATGATAATTGTTTACAGATTGGGTACGGTAAGAACTATTTTTTTCTAAGTTGAGAACTTTTTACCTTTTCACTTAAAGGAAGCACTTTGCAGCTTCTCTTTGGCATATCTAAATTGCCAACATAGCGATTCTTGTGCACTGGGACCATTATTAATTAAAATAAGCGTTAACTGAACACATGCACTTTGATGTTGCTACAGGTGGTCTGATCAACTAATTAACTAATCAACTCTTAACTAATAGGCAGGTAGTATACAGCTTGGATACGCTAGACAAAAAGATAATTCACATCCCAGATGGGACAGGGCAGGACAGTGACATGGCATGAGATTAATCATATTGCTCAGATGGCCACAATTTAAAATGTATGAACTATTTCTCAAACTTCCATTTAATATTTTCAGACTTTGGTAGAAACCATAGAAAGTAAAATAGCAGATAAAGGAAACTCCTGTGTTTCTTCTGATTTACCAGAACAGAACATATGCTGTGCTAATTCTTAAGAACATAAGCCAACTTATGAATTACAGCAAATCAAGCCTTTGACATATGGAAAACAAAAAAAAAAATGATCAATAACTTTCCAATTTCAACAAACCTATAGAACTCTTCTCGTTCTCTCTCATCCAGCTCTGTGATGATATAAGCAAGGGTACGTTCAATCCGAGGAATGATGACTAGAGTTCAAAAAAATATATATACATGAGAACTTCAAACTCCCTGTTTTCAAATTTCTAGTGCTCACCTGTGTAATACTTATCTCTAACTGTAAAATTAATGTAAATTTAATGCACAGAACTTAGAAGAAAAAACCACAAAGAAAAAATTAAGCATCACCTAACCACCCAAAGTAATTACTGGGAATATTCTTTATGTGCCCTACTAGTGTCTTTTCTATGCCCAGATAATGTATTGGAACAAAACAGATACTAAATTGAATAGATATGAAAATATGTCATTGAGCCACAGATGTTAATTTAAATATAATAGCGATTCACTGTTTAAAAAATGGAGCAGGGACAGGTGTTTGGTGCAGCAGTTAGGACATCATTTGGAAAGTCTACATCCTCTGAGAGCTTAGGTTCCAATCCTGGCCCTGATCCCAATTGTAGCTTTCTACTAATGTGCACCCTGGAAGGCAGCAGACAAGGGCAAAAGTGACTGGGTCCCTGTCACCCATGTGCGAGACCTGGATTGAGTTCCAGGCTCCTGGAGTGAACCAATCAATGAAAGATATTTCTCTGTCTCTGCCTTTTTTTTTTTTTTTTTTTAAAGATTTTACTTACTTGAGAGGTAGAGTTATACACACAGAGAGGGAGACAGAGAGAAAGGTCTTCCATCTGTTGGTTCACTCCTCAAATGGATGCAATATCCGGAGCTGAGCTAATCAAAAGCCAGGAACCAGTAACTTCTTCTGGGCCCCCACACGGGTGCAGGGGCCCAAGCACTTGGGCCATCTTCTACTGCTTTCCCAGGCCATAGCAGAGAGCTGGATCAGAAGAGGAGCAGCCGGGACTCGAACTGGTGCCCATATGGGATGCTGGCACTGCAGGTGGAGGCTTAGCCTAGTATGCCACAGCACCAGCCCCACTGTCTCTGCCTTTTATTTATTTATTTATTTTTAAGATTTATTTATTCATTTGAGAGTTACACAGAGAGAAGGAGAGGCAGAGAGAGACAGAGAGAGAGGTCTTCCATCTGTTGGTTCACTCCCCAACTGGCTGCAATGGCCAGAGCTGCACTGATTTAAAGCCAGGATCCAGGAATTCCCTCTGAGTCTCCACATGGGTGCAGGGACCCAAGGATTTGGGCCATCTTTCACTGCTGTCCCAGGCCACAGCAGAGCTGGATTGGAAGTAGAGCAGCCAGGACTCAAACTGGTGCCCATATAGGATGCCAGCACTGCAGGCAGTGGCTTTACCCACTATGCCACAGTGCCAGCCTGTCTCTGCCTTTTAAATAAAATTAAAATAAAAAATATTTTCTTAAATGTAGCAGAGAAAATGCAATAAATTTTTTATGTCAGCCACTGGACTCTACAAACTTTGCCTATTTTGCTTCTAGAATATAAACTCCTTGAGGGTGAAAACTATTACCCTTATGCATTTTGTTTTGTCTGTAGCCATGTATAATTCATGGCACTAGCAAGTGAGAAAGAAATATGATTTTGAGTTCTTAAAAAATGAAAACTTTTGGGGCTGGGGTTGTGGCATAACAGGTTAGGCCACTGGCTGTGATGCCAGCATCTCATTTCCTATCCAGCTCCCTGCTAATATGCCTGGGAAAGCAGCAGAAGACAGCCCACATCCTTGGGTCCCTGCACCCACGTGGGAGACTCAGAGGAAGCTCCCGGCTCCTTGTGTTGGCCTGGCCCAGTCCCAGCCCTAGTGGTTGCAGCCATCTGGGGAATGAACCAGCAGACGGAGGTTCTCTGTCTTTCCCCACTCTGTCTGACTCTGCCTTTCAAATAAAAAAAAATAAAAAAAGCTTTAAAAAAAAATTTTTTTAACACTAATGTAAACCTAATCAAAAAAATTTATTTCATCCAGTTTTTGCTCTTTACCTTAAAGTTGAATGTTTCTTGAGCAAAAAGTATTGTCAAAAGTAAACAAATAAACAGACTTTTTTTTTGGACAGGCAAAGTGGACAGTGAGAGAGAAACAGAGAGAAAGGTCTTCCTTTTGCCGTTGGTTTACCCTCCAATGGCCGCCGCGGCCGGCGGGCTACAGCCGGCGCACCGCGCTGATCCAATGGCACGAGCCAGGTGCTTATCCTGGTCTCCCATGGGGTGCAGGGCCCAAGCATTTGGGCCATCCTCCACTGCACTCCCTGGCCACAGCAGAGAGCTGGCCTGGAAGAGGGGCAACCGGGACAGAATCCGGCGCCCCGACCGGGACTAGAACCCAGTGTGCTTTTGCCGCTAAGTGGAGAATTAGCCTAGTGAGCCGCGGCACCGGCCAATTTTTTTAAAATAATGAAATAAAAGATAATAGAAAAATTTTGTTTTTAGAAATCAAGGAGAATGGCCTAAAGGAGAGGAATGTAAAGTTAAATACTGAATATATTAAAAAATACTTATCACTGAACCGTTAGAAAGAACGAAAGAAAACACTAACACTCTTAGGAAGTTTCCAGCCTTTACCAACTGCATGAACAACAGAAACAGAACATTCTGTAACTCTTTACTCTTCACTTCCCTCTGTAACTCACGCACATCACATACCATACATCTCTCTCAACACCTGCTTGCAGTGTTGACACAGCCCTGCACTGGGCAGGGGCAGTGTCTCACTCTCCTTTCAATCTGCAGCACAGTGCATCTCCCTGGCAGGTGCAAAGCAGATGAGGATGGGCAAGTGAACCAACAAAGTGCCTCACAGCAGCTTAGACTCACCATGCTCAATGGCATTTACACGCCTGTTGGTTATCTTTATAGCTTCATCCAAAGTAACAAAGGAAGTCTAAAATAAGAAGATACATTAATAAGGCGAGCACAAAGTCTTTCTAATCATACTCTGTTCACCTGGCTCCACGCAGACTGCATTAGTAAAATCGTTGTTGAGGGAGACGCGGCACGGAGGCTAAGGTGCCAGCTGGGACATAGCATCCCATACCAGAGTGCCTGGTTCTAGTCCCGACTCCATATCTGGGAGGCAGCAGTGATGGCTCAAATACCTGGGTTCCCGTCACCCATGTGGGACACTTGGATTAGTTCCCAGCTACGAGACACTGGGAGTGAACCAGTGTCTCTCTCTTTCTCTACCTTTCAAGTAGATTATATAACATTTTTTAAAAAGAAAGACAAATATTTGGGAACCAAGGCAGCTTCTTTTCCACATGTTTTAAAAACAAAATTTGTATGAGATTTCCACAGAGCTAACACAGAGCTTTACATCAGACTAAATAAAGAAAAATGACATCAGGAAATAATCATGCAGTCATAAACCTACATCTTAACTAGTCACAAAAGGAAAAACTGGCTTTCCTGTACAAACCATGTTGTAGCTGCGATTAAATCTAGTTATCAACTTCGCTGTTCTCATCTAGCAAAGAACGTAACTACCACTACACATACATTTTATTAATAATAAAAAACCGGGACAATGATACAGAAGTCACCATTTCAGAAACAGAAACATTAGGCTTGCTCCCCGAAGGATCATGGGAACAGTTCCAAGTACACGGTGCAGTGTGATCCGGTGCAAGGGCTAAATCTCCTCACGTAAGCCTTAGAAACCAACCCGCAGGGTTCCTGAACTCTGCTTGAGACTCACCTGCAGAGAAGCCAGTTCCACCAGTAGCTCCACTGCTTTGGCATAATTCCTCTTTAATTTAGCCAACTGTTCCCCACCTCTGGCCAAACCGGTCAGTTCATAACCTGAGAGAACCAGTCACACGACATTTGTAATTAGAGAGTAAATAATACTTCCCCATAACGTTCCCCAAAGGAAGAGAATTCAGAATAATACCAAACATGGTAAGACACATTGACCAACCACTGTTAAATGCAAACATGGAATGTCCATCACAATCCCCAACACTGTAGGAACACGCTGTTCAATGCAGTTTACAGGGGCTGGCGCTGCGGCGTGGCGGGTAAAGCTGCTACCTGTGGTGCTGGCATCTCATGTGGGTGCCAGTTCAAGACCCGGCTGCTCCACTTCCAATCCAGCTTCCTACTAATGAACCTAGAAAAATCTTTGGGCCCTTGCACCCATGGGGGAGACCTGGAAGAAGTTCCTGGCTTCAGATCTGCCCAGCTCCAGGTGTTGTGGCCATCTGCGGAGTGAATCAGCGGATGGAAGATCTCTCTCTCTCTCTGCCTCTGCCTCTCTATAACTCTGCCTTTCAAATAAATAAATCGTAAAAAATAAATATACAGTTTACACACTACACATACTATTGTGAATGTAACTAGAAGAGAAACTTTATTTTTAAAGATTTATTTATTTATTTGAAAGGCAGTTACAGAGAGGCAGAAAGGTCTTCCATCTGCTGATTCACTCCCCAAATGGCTGCAACAGCTGGCATTGTGCTGGTCTGAAGCCAGGAGCCAGGAACTTCTTCCGGGTCTCCCACACGGGTGCAGGGGCCTAAGCACTTGGGCCATCTTCTACTGCTTTCCCAGGCTGTAGCAGAGAGCTGGTTCAAAGTGGAGCATCCAGGACTCGAACCAGCACCCATATGGGATGCTGACACTGCAGACTGGGGCCCTAACCTGCTGCACCACAGCGCCGGCCCCAAGAGGAAAAACTTTTAACCAACCTTCATTTCACTAGCTGAACTTGCCAATGCCCCCTATTCCTTTTGGATACCCACTGTATAATGGCCCTGTTAATGGGTGGTCCTCTAGAATGATCTATTTTTTACATGATCCATAGATAATATTCTATATGATTTAATTAACTATTACATGAACAAATGAAGTCAGTGCCAGCAGAACATTGCTTCTATGAAAAAAAGTTACTTTACCTTGGAAATACTTAATAAATATATTACAACCCATTAAATGCTGTCAAATTAGGAGTGGAGTAGCTAAGACATTACAAAAAATTGGGAGTGAGCTATAAATATCTAGAAAGATTCAGCATTCAGGTTATGTCATAGTATCCAAGATCTTATTCCACTTTAAAGAAACCAAAACTGGAATCTATAAACAATGCATTATGGTTATAGTTTATGCAGAAAGATAACAGAGAAGTCTGGTCAGGGGTTCATAATCAAAGAAAAGGCCTTATCTTTTTAAAGTGGCAAGCCGGCGCCGTGGCTCAATAGGCTAATCCTCCACCTTGCGGCGCCGGCACACCGGGTTCTAGTCCCGGTCGGGGCGCCGGATTCTGTCCCGGTTGCCCCTCTTCCAGGCCAGCTCTCTGCTATGGCCAGGGAGTGCAGTGGAGGATGGCCCAGGTGCTTGGGCCCTGCACCCCATGGGAGACCAGGAAAAGCACCTGGATCCTGGCTCCTGCCATCGGATCAGCGCGGTGCGCCGGCTGCAGCGGCGGCCATTGGAGGGTGAACCAACGGCAAAGGAAGACCTTTCTCTCTGTCTCTCTCTCTCTCACTGTCCACTCTGCCTGTCAAAAATAAAAAAAAAATAAATAAAAATAAAAAAATAAAAATAAAAATAAAAAATAAAAAAAATAAAGTGGCAAATGACTATATGTTGATGTATTTCTAAGTTAAAATAAAATGTAGGGTATAATGTTTTATGGCTTTTGGCCATTAGACCTTTTTGATAAACTGGTAACTATTGCCCTATCAGATAAAAGGGCTTCTAACACTGAACTTCTGAACTCTAGGGTCTACCTAGCACCATTTTCCAGAACAAAATTCAATTAAAGACCAAAGGAGATCCTAGAGATACCTACTAACATAAAAAGTTTCACACTTACTATCAGTTCCTTCATGGTAATGTTCAAATACTGGCAAAGTAACACCTGTTAAAAGCAAAACATATATGGATTAACAAGCATGGCCATGAAAAAATACTCAAAAGTCAAGAATTACAATTGGTTTTAATGAACGATATGGGACCCTTCCTTTGTAAGTGTTCATTTCAATCCAAAAGTCAAATTATCCTGGGTAATAGGGACCTGATTGCTAATGGCTTTAACCTACATGTAAAGCCAACCTGTTGTAAAGAGAAGAGAGTAGTCTACGACCACACTGTTCTGAACATGCCCGACCTCATCTGATCTGGGAAGCTAAGCAGAGTCGGGCTTGGTTAGTGCTTTGATGGGAGAGAAGAGAGTGACAGGGACATCAAGATCTTGTATAAACAGGGTAATTTTTAAATGGCACCTTTTCTCCTTCAAGGATTTTAAAGGGTTGAAAAGTTACCTGCTACGTTATCTTTCTTTGCTCGAATCTTCACCTGGGCTTTATTTACATTTTGGATAACCGTGGTGCTGCAGGAAAAGAAAAGGCCTTTATTTGTGGTTTTAGAAATAATTCTACAGGGACTCACTGTATAATTTCAACATTACATGATACCAACAACGAGAAGTCACGGTTAAGTATGTTTTGTAAATTATCTTTTTGTCACAGAAAGAGAAAAATCACTGATGCCAGAAGAGGGCCTCAGAGAGCAGAGAAAGAGCAATCATTAAACCATTAGCCACTAAGATTTTACAGTAGGTGTACTGTTTATATTTTCAGTCAGGCGTGTGGTGCACGGATATGACTTCACAGATGCTGATTCTGCTAGTGTACTCTGGAGAAAATGTTCCTTCTAAGTTTGCTATTAAATTGGTTAAGCTGGTGGAACCTGTAAAACTTAATCTGACTCTGGCTCCCCACCTATTATTATCATAAGATTATGACCCTAAAACATACTCCATACCACCACTTACTCACTATTGATTTCTTCCCTTTACTGCAAAAGTCGTGCAAGCTGATATCCACCAGCACTGGCAAAAAATTAAAAGTCTACCACTTCAACTGGCCACGTGGTCCTCGTTGGCCACCAACGAGAGCTCCTAGAAAATGACCTAAGAATGGAAGCATCATGTTATTAGGGAAAATCAAAGCCCTAAACACCTTACACCTCTGCCCTTAACTAGCCATGTGACTTCAGGAAGACATTTAACTTAAACTAAGAATAACAATTTGAACTGCTTGCTTGCTTTTCTAATTTATTTTTAGGGTTTTTTTTTTTTTTCAAAGACTTATACAATAAGTTTTAAGATGAAACAATGGTTTTTTTCCTGATAAACAGAGCATTTAATTGACTATTTTATCAAGATTAATTTTTGATATTTGCTAAAGACTAGTTCTTTAAGCTATGACATAAGATAAATCCCAAAAGGCAATACCTCATTGTTTGCTTATCCTTTGTTCCTATATTTTTCAGAGGAAAACACTATAAATTGTAAATAGTCAATATGTAACTATTGCATGCAAATCTGTGACTGCTGGCAATGTCATCTAGAAGGAAAAGATAAAGTTTATTTACTATAAAAAAAAGAATAACAATGCTTGCCTTAACTACCTCACAGAATTATTTGGAGAATCATATAAGTTGGCATAAGCCATTGTAAACCATCTGTTGGTTCATTCCTCAAATGCCCACAATAGCTGGGTCCAGAGCCTGGAGCAGGGAACACAATCTAGGTCTCTCATATGGGTGGTAAAAAACTAAGTACTTGGGGCCGGCGCTGTGGCAAAGAGGGTAAAGCCATTGCCTATAGTGTTGGCATCTATATGGACACTGATTCTGGCTGTTCCATTTACGATCCAGCTCTCTGTTACGGCCGAGGAAAGCAGTGGAAGATGGCCTAAGTGCTCCATGGGCCCCTGCACCCACGCAGGAGACCCGGAAGAAGCTCCTGGCTCCCGGCTTCGGATCTGCCCAGCTCCAGCCATTGCGGCCTTCTGGGGAACAAACCAGCAGATGGAAGACCTCTCTCTGCCTCTGCCTCTCTACAATTCTGCCTTTCAAATAAATATAAATCTTAAAAACAAAACAAAAACACCCAAGTATTTGAGCCATCACTGCAGCAGAAAGCTAGAATTAGGAGTGGAGCCAAAGACTTGAACCCAGGCACTCTGATAGGGGTGCTGGTCTCCCAACTGGCACCTTAAGCTAAAGTCAGGACTCAGAGCCAGAAATGAACCCATACACTATGATGCATGACAACTGTGTTTTAACCATTAGACCAAAAGCCTGCTCCATACAAATCATTTCATATGCTATGTAACACATAGAATGATATGGCAACCCATAAAACTCATGCCTTTTAAACAATCTATTGCATTCTCAAAAATTTATCCTAAGGAGGGGCAGGCATTGGGGTGCAGCAAGTTAAACTGCCACTTGGGATGCCTGCATCTCATATTGGAGTGCTGGCTAGAGTACTGGCTACTCTGCTTCTGATCCAGCTCCCTAATGCAACTGGGAAACAGCAGAGAATAGTTCAATTACTTGAATTCCTGCCACCCACATGAGAGACCCAGAAAAAGTTCCTGGCTCCTGGCTTTGGCTCAGCCCAGCCCCAGCTGTTGCCAATATTTGGGAAATAAACCAGAAAATGTGGGGCCAGTGCTGTGGCATAGCAGGTAAGGCTGCCAATGCAGTGCCAGCAGCCCATATGGGCACTGGTTCGAGTCCCAGCTGATCCACTTCTGATCTAGGTCTCTGCTGTGGCCTGGGAAAGCAGAAGAAGATGGTCCAAGTCCTTGGGCCCCTGCACCCATGTGGGAGATCCGGAAGAAGCTCCTGGCTTCAGATCAGCACAGCCCCAGCCGTTGCAGCCAATTGGGGAGTGAACCAGCAGATGGAACACCTCTCTCTGCCTCTCCTTCTCTCTCTGTGTAACTCTGACTCTCAAATAAATAAATGTTTAAAATAAAAAAAAAAAGAAATCAGAAAATGAAAGATACTGCTTTCAGGGCCAGCACTGTGGCAGAGCGGATAAAGCCGCCACCTGCAGTGCCAGCATTCCCATTTGGGCGCTGGTTCAAGTCCTGGCTGCTCCACTTCCAATCCAGCTCTCTGATATGGCCTGGGAAAGCAGTGGAGGATGGGCCAAGTCTTTGGGCTCCTGCACCCACATGGGAGACCTGAAAGAAGCTTCTGGCTCCTGGCTTCGGATCGGCTCAGCTCTGGCCGTTGTGGCCAATTAGGGAGTGAACCAGTGGATGGAAGACCTCTCTCTCTCTGCCTCTCCTTATCCCTCTGTGTAACTCTTTCAAATAAATAATCTTTAAAAAAAAAAAAAAAAGAAAAAAGAATGAAAGATATACCATGCTCTTCTTCCCCCACCACATCCCCCATCAGCTTTTCAACTAAGTAAATTTATATTTGAGAGGTAGAGTTACAGAGAAGAGGGAGAGACAGAAAGGTCTTCCATCCACTGGTTCACTCTCCCAAATGGCTGCAACAGCCAGACCTGAGCCAATCCGAAGCCAGGAGCCAGGAGCTTCTTCTGGGACATCTGGGACCATCTTCCACTGCTTTCCCAGGCCATAGCAGAGAGCTGGATTGGAAGAAGAGGAGCCAGAACTCGACGAACCAGTGCCCATAAGGGATGCCGGCGCCTAAGGCAGAAGTTTAGCCTGCTACACCACAGCACCAGCCCAAATATACAATTCTTTAAAAACAACAACAAAAAGTATGGAGTGGGCATTTGGCACAGCCATTAAAATGCCACATAAGACACCCACATCCCACACTGGATGGCTCTAATTCTGTATTCCAGCTTCCTGCTAATGTGCACCCTGGAGGCAGTGGCTAATGTCCCAGGTATTTGCATCCCTACCACCTACATGGGAGACACAGACTGAGTTCCTGGCTCCTGAATTCAGCCTGGCCCAAGCCCCAGCTATTGCAGGGATCTAAAGACTGAACCAGCAGATGGAAGAGCTCTCTATGCTTTTCAAAAAAAGAAGCATGGATTTTCCATGAATTTCTGAAGCCCCCTAATATTAACGTAATTTCTTTAATGCTTATATAATTTTATACTAAAATGATCTTTAAATGAAAATTAGGGGGGCAGGTGCTGTGGCACAGCAGGTTAAGCCATCACCTGCAACACTGGCATCCCATATGGGTGCTGGTTTGAGTTCCAGCTGCTCTATTTCCTGTACAGTTCCCTCCTACTGCACCTGGGAAAGCAGGGGAAGATAGCCTAAGTGCTTGGGCACTGCTACCCACGTGGGAGACCTGGATAAAGCTCTTGGCTTTAACCCCAGCTACTGCCCCCATTTGGGGAGTGAACCAGATAATAAAAGATCTCTGTGTCTCTCCTTCTCTAACTCTGCCTTTCAAATAAATCAAAATTAAATGAAAATTAGGGGAAAAAAAAGGAAAATTACGAACTTGAAAGCACTTTGTTTTTGTTTTTTTTTTTTTCAAAACACCCACTTTAGTCTGCTTACCTGAAGTCTCCTGCTGTGAATTTGGCCTCAGCTAGTGAAAAGGCAGCTTCTCTCATGACTTCACCCATCAACATTTTAGTCTGAAAAAGCATTAACCAACAAATTCAACCAAGATTTCTATAGGGAAAAATTATATCAAATAAAGTTTCCTTAATAACCACCAGTATTTTATGCTAGGTGTGGATATAAATATTTAATAATGATAAAGCAAATGAAAACTTCCAATTATGAATAATTCGATTATGACCACTAACAATGTTGCAAAATCATGTTTTTTTTTTTTAAATTTATTTATTTGACAGGTAGAGTTGTAGACAGTGAGAGAGAGAGACAGAGAGAAAGGTCTGCCTTTCATTGGTTCACCCCCCAAATGGCCGCTATGGCCGGCGCGCTGCGCCAATCCATAGCCAGGAGCCAGGTGCTTCTTCCTGGTCCCTCATGCGAGTGCAGGGGCCTGAGCACTTGGGCCATCCTCCACTGCCCTCCTGGGCCACAGAAGAGAGCTATACTGGAAGAGGAACAACTGGTGACTAGAACCCAGCGCCCATATGGGATGCCGGCGCCGCAGGCGGAAGATTAACCAAGTGAGCCACAGCGCCGGTCCCCAAAATCATAAGTTTTATAATTACAATGTTAGAGGGGCCAGCGTTGTGGTATAGCAGGTAAAGCCACTGCCTACAGTGCCAGTATCCCATATGGGCGCCGGTTCGAGACCTGGCTATTCCACTTTTGATCCAGCTCTGCTATGGCCTGGGAAAGCAGTAGAAGATGGCCCAAGTGCTTGGACCCCTGCATCCATGTGGGAGACCTGGAAGAAGCTCCTGGCTCCTAGATTTGGATCAGCTCAGCTCTAGCCATTGCAGTCATTTGGGGAATGAACCAATGGATGGAAGATTCTCTTTCCCTGTACCTGTGTCTCTCTGTAACTCTCTGTAACTTTCAAATAAATAAATAAATATTTAAAAACAATAATTAAAATATTAGAATAAATGCATTAAGAAATAAAAAACTGAATCTTTACTGACAGGGCTCCCTATTTTATTTCTGATTTGGTCAAATTGATCTCTTAATTTAAAAAAAATATTTTTAATCCAGATGTTATAGATAACAGCTTTCAAAAACCTGTAAAGTAACCAAGACAGTACAGGAGAACATTTTCTTAATCTCTTTAGACCTTCCTTAGCCTTATATCCAACTTCAAAACTATATAGACTAATAGATTAGATCAAATAAAGATTAAGACACCTTTTCTGAAAGTCAAAAGATAAGCTGTGTAGAAAATCTGTTTAGCATGTTACACATAAATCAGATTATTTATAGAATTTTCACAAAAAATTTCATCAAGAAAATCAAATTACTGCAGGCTGGCACTGTGGTACAGCAAATTGAAACTGCCACTCATAACCTCAGCATCCCACACAGAAGGAAGGGACAGTTGGAGTACCAGCTCCTTTGCTTAGGATCTAGCTCCCTGTGTGCTTGGGAAAGCAGTAGAAGACGGGCCAAGGCCTTAGGCCCCTGCACCCATGTGGGAGACCTGGGGGAAGCTCCTGGCTTTGGATCGGCCCAGCTCCGGCCATTGTGGTCATCTGGGGAGTGAACCAACAAATGGAAGATCTCTCTCCCTCTGCCACTGCCTCTCTGTAACTCTGCCTTTCAAATAAATAAATTAATCTTTTTTAAAAAATCACTTAAAGGAAAATTAGGAGTGGGTGTTTGTCCTACCAGTTAAGCCATCAATAGGATATCTAATTCCAGCTTACTGCTAATGCACACCTGGGAGAAAGCAGATAATGGCCTGAATACTTGGGTTCCTGTCACCTATGTGGAGACCCAGATGGAATTCTGCACCTATGGGTTCAGCCTGACCTAACTCGGCTATTACAGGCATTTGGGAAGTGAAGCAGCAGATGGACCAACTGTCCCTTGCTATCTCGGTCTCTTGGAATTTCAAATAATTGTTTTAATGGATCATTTATTTTAATAAAAAAGAAAAATGCCAAGGGCCAATTTTCCTTATTAGATATTTCTAAATAAATACTGCTGGGGGTGGCCTTGTGGCACAGTGGATTAACTCACTGCCTGCGACACGAGCATCCTGTATCAGAGTGCCAGTATGGATCCCAGCTGCTCTGCTTCCAATCTAGCTCCCTGCTGACACACCTGAGAAAGCAGCAGATGAGGATCCAAGTGCTTGGGCCCCTGCCACCCACACAGGAGACCCAGATCAAGTTCTTGGTTCCTGGCTTCAGCCTGGCACAGCCCTGGTGACTGCAGCCATCTGGGGAATGAACCATTGTGTGGAAGATTTCTTTCTTTCTCTGTCTCCCTCTCTCTGTCACTATGCATTTCAAATAAATTCAAATAAAACTTGAAAAAAAAAAAAAAATACTGCTCCAAGCAACATTCATGCTACCTCTATTATCTTCTTTAGGATTTGTCGAAATCGAAGCGTTAAGGCATCGGATTTTTTCTTCAGGAGGTTTCGGCCCGTCTGTGCTCCTTTTAATCGAGCCTTCATGATGGTCTGTGCCCTATACAAAGACGTAGAATTAAAGACATTTATTCTCATAGACTCATTGTGTTTAAGAGACACAAAAATACCTCCTTTATTTTTTGAGGTAGTGACATCAAGAATATACAGCATTTGCAACTGACAGGTTAAAATGGTTTCTTAATACAAAAGCTTTCTATCATGAGTGTTCCATAAATGAAGTTTATTTACTTACATCAGAAACAATTCTGCAGTCAATGATCTGGAGTAAGTATTAGGGCATAATAAAAATTATCAGGAGACTTATTTCCTAATACCAGTATAGTTCAAGTACTTATTTGATTTTTAAGTTAAAATAACGCAAATAATGGTTCAGTTGCCATTACAGGTATATTAAGACAAAACAAAAACAAATTGATCCGGGCCAGCATTGTGGTGCACTGGGTTAAGCCACTGCCTGCAACACCAGCATCCCATATGGGTGCTGGTTCAAGCCCTGGGTCTCCACTTCCTATCCAGCTTTCTTCTAATGTGCCTTGGAAAGTAGAAGATGTTCCAATGTGGGAGACCCAAACGGAGTTCCAGATTCCCAGCTGAAAAAGAATCGGAAAGAAATTATCTTCCTTCTGCTGGTTTATTTCCTACAAGCCCACAACAGCCAGGGCTGGGTCGGGCTGAAATCAGTAATCTGAAACTCAGCTGGGGTGGCAGAGACACAAGTACACTAGAGCCATCATCTGCTGCTCCCCAGAGTATACATCAGCAGGAAGCTGGATCAGACTCAAACCCAGGCACTCCAAGCATCATTTTAAATACAAGCCACAACTTCTGCCCCTACTGCATTTTATAATAACCATTTTCTATTAAAATGCCAACTGTTTTATTAATCTGTAAATGACTCTAGGTAACAAATGACATATATAAGGCTGCTGAGAAGTGACAAGCTGAACTTACACTCAATTCTCCCTTCATTTTGATTTTTTCCCCATCAGAAGCCCCAAAACTGAAATTATACAAAAATCGACATTTCTCTTCTTGCAACCATATGCCAGATAAAATATGGGAAAAAAAGTTCAGGTAATAAAATTCAACAAGAGATTGTACAAACTAGATATACAATGATTTAAGTATCTATATTGTAACATGTTACAATCACTGCAAAACAGCATGTAACAATGGACCTTTTCACCAGATTCTTATTATATATACCGAATATTACTCTATGATTAAGGTTATCAAGACAATCCTATAGCTGGAAGAGACTTTAAGCATTAACAAAGATGAAGAAAATAAGGCTTAGAAAAGTAGAACAACATCCTCACACTCAGTGAAAAGGCAGGATAGCAGCTTGAACCAGATTTTTTAAATTCTTTTAAGGATATATTCATTTATTTAAAAGGCATTGTTACAGACAGACAGACACACAAACACACACACACATACAGATTTTTCCATCTACTGGTTCACTCCCCAAATGGCTGCAACAGCCTGGAACTGGATGGGCCAAAGCCAAGAGCTGAACTCTACCTGGTCTCCCACATGGCTACAGGGGCCCAAAGATTTTTTTGGTCATTCTCCACTGCCTCCCCAGGCACAGTAGCAGGGAGCTGGATCATAAGTGGAACAGCTGGGACTTAGACTGATGCCCATATTTATTTGAAAGGTGGAGGCAGAGAGAAGAGAGATGGATCTTCCATTCACTGCCTTACTTCCTAAATGGTCACAACAGCTGGGGCTGGGCCAGGTCAAAGCCAGAAGCCTGGAACTCCATCCAGGCCTCCCACGTGGGTGGTAAGGGCCCAAGCACTTGGGCCATTTTCCAACCCCTTCCCAGGTACATCACCAGGGAGCTGGATCTGAAGTGGAGCAGCTGGGACTGGAACCCATTGCATCACAACATCGACCCCTCTTTCGTGCCTCTTTTGTTTCCATTCTCAATTTGTTGTTTTGTTTACTCTGGTGTTTAAGTGGGTGAAAAGAACATGTCAGATGATAATACTATAGTCTGGAATGTTTTAACCCTGTTATCCTTGTTTATTTTTGTTTCTTTGTTTTTTGAGAGACAGAGAAAGAGACAGAGCTCCTATCTCCTGGTTCACTCCCCTAATGTCCTGAACAGCCACAAGTCAGCCAGGTCAAAGCCGGAAACCAGAAACTCAATCGAGATCTCCCACATGAATGGCAGGGACCATCACTTGCTGCCTCCCAGAGTCTGCATTTACAGGATGCTGGAGTTTTAATCTGTATCTTAATCTCTAGGCCAAAGGCCTGTTCCCTAGTTTAGCATTTTTTTATGGTTTATTTATTTGAAAGAAGAGTTACAGAGAGAGAGGAGAGATAGAGAGATGTTCCATAGCTTAGGACATTTTTTTAATGATTTATTTATCTTATTTGAAAGGCAGAGTTACAGAGAGGTGGAGAGAGAGAGGTCGGTTCTCCATCTGCCGGCTCACTCTCAAAATGGCTGCAACAGCCAGAGGTGGGCTGATCCAAAGCCAGGAGCCAGGAGCTTCCTCTGAGTCTCCCATGACTTGGGCCATCTTCCACTGCTTTCCCAGGCCACAGTAGAGCTAGACAGGAAGAGGAGCAGCCAGGACTTGAACCTGAGCCCACAAGGGATGCCAGCACTGCAGGTGGCGGCTCCACCTGCTAAGCCAAAGCACTGGACCCAGCTTACGATTTTTTCTTTTTTCTTTTTTTTTTTTTTTAACAGGCAGAGTAGACAGTGAGAGAGAGAGACAGAGAGAAAGGTCTTCCTTTTGCCGTTGGTTCACCTTCCAATGGCCGCCACGGTCAGCTTACGATTTTTAAAACCTGTTCTTGTACATGTTTCAGAGCTGCTCAGAACTACAAAACAAAGTCTGACCTTCAGCTAGGACAATGACTTTGTTTCTAGCTGAATCAAAGACATATGACTATATGACAAAGAAACTGCTGTTGGGCCTTGGGGAAAATATTTACTCCCTGCACCAGATTTTCCTCTCAAGCAGCAAGCTGAGCAGTCTCCAATAGCAGTTTTCTCCTTCACAAACCAATTATTTTTCTTGTCTAAGCCTGAAAAGGTCAATTTTTGCTTTTTAGTTTCCAAATAAAAGTTCCAAAGTAAAAAGAAGAAATGTTAACATTCTGACTCCTGTGGAAGATGAACAGCCAGACATTATTTACAAGAGTGATAACAGACTTTATTCAGTAGCCACTGATAATCAAGGAAAGAAGAGAGTTCCTTTCTGATTTCTATGGAGGAGAGTGGGCTTTTTAATGGATAATTCTCTCTTTAAAGAGAATGGAGTGGAGCAGGCCCCAAATAGTCAAAGAAATGAACGATTACAGAGGGGTGGCTGTGTAAATACGCTTAGGCCAGGGATGTTTGCTAGCTGGCAATTATGGAAGTGGGAGTCCACCTTCCCAGAGGCAGGGAGACCCTCCTTCCTGATGACCACATTTCACCCGGCCCAGCCCTGCCATTGTGGCCGTGTGGGGAGCAAGCAAATAGATGCAAGAGCTCTCATTCTGCCTCTTCCTCCCCCTCTCCTCCTGCCTCTCAAATAAATACATGCATAAATCTGAGTGTTACCCTTCTGCCCAGTAATAGCTACGTATTCATGATTGTGAGCCCTTTGTAGTAAATCTAAGAATGGGAAATCAAGGGTCTATCAATCAGGTGTTGACTAGAAGAAATAGTAAATTATCTTTGCCTTTTTTTTTTTTAATTTTTAAAATTTATTTGAAAGGCAGTTACGGAGAAGGAGAGGAAGAGGGGAGGAAGGGAGGGAGAGAAACGTATCTTCTATCCACTGGTTCACTCTGCAAATGGCTGCAACAGCCAGAGGTAGGCCAGGCCAAAGCCAGGAGCCTGGAACTCCATCTGGGTCTCCTATGGGAGTGCAGGGACCCAAGCACCGGGCCACCTTCTACTGCCTTTTCAGGCGCCTTAGCAGGGAGCTGGATGAGAAGTGGAACAGCTGAGACCTGAACCAGCGCTCACGTGGGATGCCTGGATCTCGGGCAGCACCTTAATCCACTGTGGCACTGCCGACCCCCTCCCAGCTGTTCTGGCATTCTCGTAGGGGGCTGGAGGGCCATCCTAATGACACGACTTGATGCCGCTGGCAGCCATGTCACAGCTCACTTGTCTCTCAGCCAGAGGTTTGTGCGGATTCTGCAGTCCTCACCACCCCAGAGTAGTCCTAATGGCCCCTCTTTCACAGGCACTGCTTTCTCCACAACTGGCTTGCTTTCGCCTAGTGTTGCAGCTGTTACAAAGTCAGCAGTGAAGGGAAAGCCACGTCTTAAGGCCCTCTCATTCCACCAGGAGCTGCAGTGGCCCTGGCAGACTGTGATCAGGGGTCTGGAGCTTGAATGTAACAGCTTTTACCTGAAGCATCCTCAGATCCTCTGAGAAAAAGACAGGATGAGGAAAACACACCTCCACCAAAGACATGCGGCCACAAAGGAAAGCTCAGACCGTCACATTCACAGCTGATTTTCTGCTTCCTCAGTAGAGGTGGGGGGAGGGAGAGAGGGGAGAGAGGGAGAAGGAGGGAGAGAGAAAAAGAGGAAGAGAGAGGGAGGGAGAAGGGAGGAGGGAGGAAGGGAGGGAGAAGGGAGGAGGGAGGAAGGGAGGAAGGGAGGGAGGGGGGAGGGGACAGGGAGAGAGAGAGTGGGGAGGGAGAGAGAGGGAGGGGGAGGGAGGGGAGAGGGAGGGGGAGTGAGAGGTGGGGGAGAGGGGTGGGGGGAGGAAGAGGGAGGGAGGGAGGGAGAGGGGGAGGTGGAAACGGAAGGAGGGAGAGAGGGAGGGAGGGAGGGAGAGAGAGAGAGGCAGCACACAAATGCAAACGCTTTACTCTCCCCATAGCTGTTAGGCCCATTTCAGGCGATGTCCAACTCTTCTTACAAACTGGCCAGACACCTGCAGAGCTAAGTTGTTTCTCCCGACAAAGTGTTCTGCCCAAAAGAGAAAGGCGGCCCACCAGTGAGCAGATTCCAGGGGAACTTTGGGGCCTTTCTGTGAGCTCATAATCAAGACACGGGCGTCTGGAGGGAGAGTTTGACATGCAAACTTGGCAGTGTGGTGAGTGGCACAGAAACACGGGCCATGTTCCCATAGCAGGGGCCGCTAGGTCAACGAGGATGGCACTGCAAGATCCAAGCCAGCGCCCACGCCGGCGCAACTCCCCGCTCTGATACACCAAACTCTTCCGTATGCTTCCCATGGCAATCAACTAGCCTTCTCGGAGCCGGTTTACCAAACCTCCTTTTCTCTCTCTCCACTATAAACTGAGTTCTGTAAGGGCAAGAGGTGGCGACGGTGCAGTCACTTAGGAAATTAAAAAAAAAAAAAAAAAGCCGGTGGACAACTGAATTCAAAGATGTGTGTTTGGGTGCACAGCATTTCTGAATCCCGTGCACAGTTTTGCATAACATGCATCTTCCCCGACGCTGCGTAAATCCAGTGCCCGGCCCAGTGAGGGTTCGCGGAACACCGAACGGTTCCATTAGGGAGTAAAGACAGCGGACCTTCACACGATCGGCAGTCCGGCCGCGTTTTCCTGTCCAGCCTGACTCATTCAGAAGGAAAGTGAGGGACCCCGACTCTCAAAAAGAACCTGGGTCGGCCCTAGAAACAAGGACCCTCCGCGCAGGCTTTCCCGACCCTACGAGAATGAAACACCCCTCACCCGCCCCCTTTTACTTACATTCGCGAGGGGAAGATTTCAATTCGGTCTTTGCCAGACATTCTGACGATGGCTGACTGGCTTCGGTACCCCGCCGGGAAACCGTGGCTGCAACAGCTCCAGGACTGGCCGCCCCAGCGCCTTCCTCTACCGGAGTCAGCTGGTTCTGTCAGATGACCCCGCGCGTTGCTAAGAGGCAGCGAGGATACCCATCGCTCACTTCCGCTTCCGGTTGTCAGGGCGAGGAAGGGTGGGGTGCTGGACGAGGGCAATGCCCGGATGTGGAGGCGCGCGCACCGCGGAACTACCTCTCACTTCCGGTTCGCCTCCCCACACTCCTCCTCAGCCCAACTCTCCCGCGACTGCGCAGATCGCAGCACGCGCCGGGGTAGGGGGAGCGAGAAAGGAGAGAAGAAGACACTCTGTCTCTGCTTCCGTTTTACGTCGTTGGTCACAGCGCCATCTCATGGTTGGCGAAAACTTACAGCGAGGATTCCTACTCAGGGGCAAGGAATTATGGTCCCACATCGTCCCTGGGCCTTGAAAGTTACTTAGCAAAAATTAAAGATCCTGAGAAAACGTGCTTTTCAGGATCTCCTAGGAATCATAGTACTCGGAGGACCCACGCTCTATAGTCAGTTGTGAAGAGCGCCGCTAGTCTGTCGGCGCCTGCGCGGGACGAGGCGGCTCCGCATGCGCGGTGGAGTTGAGCGAAGCGCACGCTGAGGTTCGGCGGCTGGTGCGGCTGGATCAAGTCCGATTTCTGCGATTGGAAGCCGCGACGCGGGACCCCGGTGTGGGATTCACACGCATACTTCAGGTCGCTAACCGCGTGGCTCGGTTTCTCCAAGATCTCGCTTTGGGTTGTGTCCGCTGACATGGGTGGTCAAGAGAGGGTAGGCCCCGGGCCGAAGCCCCCACCCTTTCCCGTGCCTGCGCGGGAAGTGTGGACACCGCGGCCGCCACCCTCGGGCTGTGTCCTGGGCCGAGTGGCTTGTACAGCCTCTGCAATATGCCCAAAGTGGGGTTCCCCCGAGGTGGGGCCCTAGCCACCCTGCCTCCGCCCCCGGGACGCCCAGCTCTGCTTTTTCCGGCTCCCAGCTTGCATCTTTTTTTTTTTTTTTTTTTTTTGAAATCAAACCAATCTCTTCTCTAAGGATAGGTGTTGAGAACATCTGGGCCCATAAAGTGCTTTATTAATCTGATTTTTGAGAACGTAGCCTTATTGCCTTTTCGCTCTAGTTGTGCATTTCTGTAGGATGAGTCACAACTCGAACTGAAACTAAATCTTGGGACCCAGGAGTCTCTTACTGTTACTGTCGGTTTGCAGTATCCTGCTAACGATGGATCTTTGTAGTATTCTGGTCGTACGAAAAGCTCAAGGTAGGGAAAGACTAAGCTTAAATACGAATTCACCCCAAATCCTTGTATCCCTGAAACTTAGCCTGCCTTATACGGTTTTTGTTCAGCAAGGAACACTTCTTGGAGAAGTAATACAGCGGAGACGTCTCGATTTGTTTTTTTCTCCCCTCTATTGAGTTGTTAGTTAAGGGGAAAAAAGAACTTCTGACTGACTCTCATGGGTTACTTAAATAGAGCTTCCTACCTCAGTTTGCTTCCCGTCAAGTGACAGTTATCACTTCTCAGGCTGTGCAGTTGAGTGGGACTTCCGGTATCAGCTGCAGGTAAGCGTGCGGCACTCCTGTGCCTAGAACTCGCGTTCAGAGAGAGCACGGCTGCTGAGTAAGTGCTGGAGCCGACAGAATCGTCGCGTAGCACATCCTACCCTGCAGAGAAATGTCGACTTCCTGTGCCCCGGACGGTGCCTGCCTGTGCGCTCGTGGGAGGAGGCAGCTCTGGGCCAGACATCTAGCATGGGGTTTAACGTGCTGCCTGGCATTCCCGCGTGCTGGAGTGTGTGGATTCAAGCACTGGCCCTGTCGCATTCCAGCTTTTCTGCTCGTGGGCACCCTGGGAGGCAGCAAGTGATAGGTCAAGTACTTGGGTCCCTGCTGTCCTTGTGGGAGACCCTTGGGGCGTTTACAGGGTAAACCAGTGGATGGGAGATCTCTGTCTGCCTGTTAAATAAGTAAGTAAACACTTAAAAAAAGTCATATGGCAAACATACAATGTGAGGTGTTTGGAGGTGGGTTAAGATATTTTGAAAGATGGATTTTTTTGCATCAGAACACCTAACAGTGTTGTCCTCTGTCACACTGAGACTCTGAGAAGCCCTGAATGTAAGGTCAGAAGACTTACATTTAGCTCCTGCTCTAGTCTGTATTAAGCATTTGTCCTTGAGGAGGACGTTTAATATTTCTATTCTTTGATAATTGATTGCTTCACTGTGCTGCTTTCTTAGTACTCTGTATTGTAATTATTTGCTTACTAGTTTGTTTCCTACTCCATATTTACACCTTAGGTACTGGGGGGAAAATTGGTTAATGAAGTAAATTACAAAATGGAAATAATACTTCTTTGCTTTTTTTTTTTTTTTTTTTTTAAGAGAGAGGGAAAGAAAGCATTCACTAATTTCACTCTCTAAATTTCCAAAATGACTTGGAGTAGGCCCAGGCAACCCAGGTCTCCCATATGGATGACAGGAACCCAATAACCAGCCATCCCCACTGCTTCCCAAGGCCTGGATCAGCAGGGGGCTGGACTCGGCAGTGACAGCCAAGTATTGAACCCAAGCATTCCGGTCTGGGACACAAGCATGTTAATTAGCATCTTTAAGGTTAGGCTAAATGCCTGTCCCTCCTTTGCCTTTTAATACCTTATGTTTGTGTAACACATTACACTTTTTAAAATGTTGTTGCATACATTTGATTGCATTGGATAGACCCATCACATCTGTGAAGTATATGGCACAAAGGAGAAACCAGAGATGAAAAGGGACACCTTCCCAGACAACCACACCTCAGAGGCAGGTGCGCAGGACTGGAACCCAAATTTAGGGCTGCTCCCAGATTTCACCATGACGCGTGATACTTGTTTGACTCAACATTGTTTTTGGAGACCAAATAAAATAAGGCAAGATGCTATGAAAATGATGAAAGGGCCAGATAAATCATGTGATTTCTCTTCAGCTAAGAAAAAAAAAGTTTTAAAAAAAACCTTACAAGAAAATTATCCTTTTCTTTCCATTTTTTTCTTTATTTATTTGACAGATAGAGTTAGTGAGAGAGAGACAGAGAGAAAGGTCCTCCCTCCGTTGGTTCACCCCCCAAATGGCTGCCACGGCCGGAGCTACACTGATCAGGAGCCAGGAGCCAGGTGCTTCTCCTGGTCTCCCATGGGGTGCAGGGCCCAAGCACTTGGGCCATCCTCCACTGCCTTCCTGGGCCACAGCAGAGAGCTGGACTGGAAGAGGAGCAGCCAGGACTAGAATCCAGCCCCCAAGAAAATTATCTTTTCATAAAAGCAGTACTTTCTTTTTTTTTTTTTTTTTTATACAGGCAGAGTGGACAATGAGAGAGAGAAAGGTCTTCCTTTGCCGTTGGTTCACCCTCCAGTGGCTGCCGTGGCCGGCGCGCTGCGGCCGGCGCACCACGCTGATCTGATGGCAGGAGCCAGGTGCTTCTCCTGGTCTCCCATGGGGTGCAGGGCCCAAGCACTTGGGCCATCCTCCACTGCACTCCCTGGCCACAGCAGAGAGCTGGTCTGGAAGAGGAGCAACCGGGACAGAATCCAGTGCCCCGACCGGGACTAGAACCCGGTGTGCCGGCGCCGCAAGGTGGAGGATTAGCCTAGTGAGCTACGGTGCCGGCAAAAGCAGTACTTTGAAGATCTTTCAGACAATGTGCAGGTGCTTTGTGATATGTGTTCTTGTGCTTCCTGAATGCTGCATTGGCGGTGTTCCATTATTCACCCTGTATATTGCAAAAACACTCCTGCCCCTTAAAGTTATATCCCTATCTCCCTCCAGGATTTTTTTACACTGTGTGTATGTTTTTAATCATCAGATTAAGCTTTACAGGGCTAGGGTTTGGTTCGATGGTTAAGAAGCCCACTTCCCACGTCAGAGAGCCTGGGCTCGAGTCCTGCCTCCACTTCCAGCCCAGCTTCCTGCTAATGTGTATCTGGGGACCAGCACCATGGCTCACTTGGTTAATTCTCTGCCTGCGGCACCAGCATCCCATATGGGCGCCGGTTCCGGTTCTAGTCCCGGCTGCACCTCTTCCAGTCCAGCTCTCTGCTGTGACCCAGGAAGGCAGTGGAGAATGGCCCAAGTGCTTGGGCCCTGCACCCCATGGGAGACCAGGAGAAGCACCTGGCTCCTAGCTTCGGATCAGCATAGTTCCAGCCATAGAGGCCATTTGGGGGGTAAACCAACGGGAGGAAGATCTGTCTCTCTCTACCTGTCAAATAAAAAATTAATATGTATCCTGGGAGGCTGTAGGTGATGGCTCGTTAGGTCCCTGCCATTCATGTGGGAGATGCCTTCAACCTGGACTTTGCAAATGGCTGCTGTGTGCATTGGAGGAGTGAACCAGTGGATGGACAATCTCTCTCTGCATTTCAAATATATAAAAATAAATTTTAAAAAATTAAGCCTTGCTTCCACAACAGTATCACCCTCACTATTTAGAGAAACTTGGTTAAGTGAATGTGAGTAACTCCTGTTAAATTGCATAAAACTGTGCTACATATTTCTGTGATTTATTTTGATACCCAATTTGAAGCTTTTTTTAGCTCTCAAGTGTGAGTACTTCACATTTAGGTATTTGACAACAGTTGTCCACCACTGCCTCCTCCCAAAAGGCCTGTTTAATGAAACAGCCAGCTCAGCTGTTTGTTAGTGGGTAATTCTGGCCATTGACAAACTCCTTCCCTTTATTTGCTAAATCCCTGTTCTGTCAAGCTACACCAAAAATACCTCTCCACTGTTTAGTATGCTGCTTTTTATTGTTAAATAGATTGTTACTAGTAATTTCCACTAGTCTGAGACATGTTCCAGTACTGAATATATTAGCAGTGCTTTTGGCGTATGTAAGATGTTTCTAATTATAATATATCTATAATATTAAGAGAAAAATACAGTCAGATTGATAGGAACACGCTCTGGATCCAGACTTCTTGAATTCAAATCCTGACTCTTTGTTTTAAATATTTATTTAAAATGCGGAGTTGCAGAGAGAGAGCGAGAAAGAGAGTCAGAGAGAT